GTGCAGAGTATACTATGATCGTAATTTTTTCTTTAAGTAAGAGTTAAAACGTCTTTGGTCTTGCCTTGTTTGTTTCGTGTTGCTTTATACAATTGTTTAAAAATTGGCATTCAGGGTAGTTTTGGTGCTGATATAGTGACAATCAAATGATTGTTTATCTCCTTAAACTTGTATTTTTTTTTGGATGTTTTCGTTTTTGTTACTAGAATTTCAGTTCTTGTTTCTTTAGATTATACGATTGATAATATTTGGTCTCCGAGGTAGTTTAGTGCCAATATAGTCACAGTCAAAGTGATTATTTATCTATTAGAAATTTCTATTCTTGTCTACCTATTAGTATGGTGAACTCTGTTGGGGTAACTTTTATGTAGTTAGTTTACTTGAGTGTAGTTTTCAAATTCTACTGGAAGGTTTAGCCAGTTAATTCTTCAGTTATGGAGTCATTTGACTCATTCCTTTTGATACACATTATTCGTGGAGTATAATTTTGATTTCATGTAAACTGCATTTCTTACAGCACCTCCAAAGAGATATCAGATTTGGAGGGGGAGCTATCTTCTATCAGAAACCTGCTATCCACTCAAGCTGCTTTGATTCATGGTCTAGCTGAGGGAGTAAACATCGATTCCCTATCTAAATCTGTTCCTGAAGGTTCTAGTGAAAATGGTTCATTAATTTCTGAAGATAGAGATCCTACTGACCTGGAGAAATGGTTAGTAGAATTTCCTGATCTCTTGGATGTTCTGTTGGCCGAAAGGAGAGTGGATGAAGCTTTAGATGCCCTCGATGAAGGTGAACGCGTGGCTTCTGAAGCAAAACAACTGAAGGTGCTGGATCAAGCTTTGCTTGTGTCTCTGCAGACTTCTATTGTTGAACGCAGGCAAAAGTTAGCTGATCAGCTTGCTGAGGCTGCTTGCCAGCCTTCTACCCGTGGTGGTGAACTTCGTGCAGCCATCTCAGCACTGAAAAGGCTTGGGGATGGCCCTCGGGCACACAGTTTGCTGCTCAATGCACATTTCCAAAGATATCAATATAATATGCAAAGCCTTCGTCCATCGAGCACCTCATATGGAGGAGCTTATACTGCTGCACTCTCACAGTTGGTGTTCTCTGCTATTGCTCAAGCTGCTGGTGATTCGTCAACGATATTTGGCAAGGAACCAAATTATACTTCTGAGCTTGTGATGTGGGCAATAAAGCAAACTGAGGCTTTTGCCTCTCTTATTAAAAGGCATGCATTAGCTTCATCAGCTGCTGCTGGGGGGTTAAGAGCTGCTGCAGAGTGTGTTCAAATAGCATTAGGCCATTGTTCCTTGTTGGAAGCTCGTGGTTTGGCACTTTGTCCTGTGCTTTTGAAACTCTTTAGGCCTAGTGTTGAACAAGCACTAGGTGCTAATTTAAAAAGAATTGAGGAAAGCACTGCTGCCTTAGCTGCTGCTGATGACTGGGTCCTTACATATCCTTCAACTGCTACACGGCAACCTGGCAGGCCTTCAACCACATCCCTTGGTAATATGACAGCGTTCCAACATAAACTTACAAGTAGTGCACATCGGTTCAATTTCATGGTCCAGGTAAATCATTTTTCTCCCACATATAATCAATTAATCAACTTTCTGTTTGGGCGTGTGTGATTCCTCATTTTATTGTGGCCTCATAGATTGCCTGATATTGCAGGATTTCTTTGAGGATGTAGGACCATTGCTCAGTATGCAGTTGGGCGGTCAGACATTGGAGGGTTTGTTCCAAGTATTTAATTCATATGTGAACATGCTTATAAAAGCATTACCGGGTTCAATGGAGGAAGAATCAAACTTTGAAGGTTCTGGGAATAAAATTGTTAGTATAGCTGAGAATGAAGCCCAACAGATTGCTTTGCTGGCAAATGCATCCTTGTTAGCAGAAGAACTACTTCCACGTGCAGCCATGAAGCTGTCTCCACCGAATCAGGTTGCTTACAAGGATGATCTACGTAGAAGATCATCAGATAGGCAAAACCGGCATCCTGAGCAAAGGGAGTGGAAGAGGCGGCTTGCCAGCTCAGTTGATAGATTAAAAGATAGTTTCTGTCGTCAGCATGCTCTAGATCTCATTTTTACAGAGGATGGTGATAGCCATCTTACTGCTGATATGTACATAAACATGGATGGGAATGCAGACGAGGTTGATTGGTTCCCATCCTTAATATTCCAGGTATGCTGAATAATGATTTTCTCTGGTGTCATTTCTGTTTGAACTCTTTTCTCTTCCTTCTTTTGAGCTGTCATGCTATTCATAGTTGGTGCTGTTCGGTTCAACACATTCCTCTGCTAGTATGCTTTGCATGTTTCATACCCTTGTTTATGTCCTCTATGCTTAAGAAAGGGTTAAGAAAAATTTTGAGGACCTCCCCCTCTGACTTCTATTGTGTAACTTCCTGGTGGAGGATGTCAAAGTTGGTATAAAACAAATGTCTTATGTCAAAATATTTCTGAACGCATGTAGATATGTCTCCTTGCATGATACCTTGAAATTGGACTAATTACCTTGAATGTTATGGTCAACTGAAGATTATCAGGTGTGACATGCTGTCTTTACATGATCCATAATTATACTTTTTGTTGGTTATTGATTGTCTGAACTAACGACAAAGAGAGAATCTAAAATTTGAAAGGGACATTGATCAATTTAAAAGTGAGGACTTGAGAATTGACCAAAAAGTTATTGTGGGTTTGTTTTTTTGGGGGGGGGGGGGGGGCGGGTGCTTATGATATTTCCCCTTTTGTGTATAGTGTATATACATATTCAACTTATTTGTGGTGTATGTGATCTGAGTTTTTTTTCTACTATTTACATGCTTTTATTATTGAATTTTGTTAACTCCTAAGTTTCTTTTGTTATTTTGTCCCAATTCAGGAACTTTTTGTGAAACTAAACAGAATGGCCAACATAGCAGCAGAAATGTTTGTAGGAAGGGAAAGATATGCTACATTGCTTCTAATGAGACTAACGGAAACTGTCATATTGTGGCTCTCGGAAGACCAGAGCTTTTGGGATGATATTGAGGATGGGCCACCTATAGGTCCTCTTGGCTTACAACAAGTATGTAATTTCTGGTCACACCATCTGATTTACTCCGTGGTGGTTTATTTTGATAATCTGTCTTGAATCCAGTATAACAACTCAAACCTTACATGTACAAGCAATAAGAAGCACATAGCCATAATCATTTGAAGGGATGTTCCTATTTTAGTAACATGAGAAGGAACTATATCATACAAGGAAGGAAGGAAATAATTGAAGATCTAACATGTAGAGAACAAAGAAACGAGGATGGAAGGAAAAATGTAGGATTGGTATATTTTGAGTGAGGGAGTTAGAGTAAAAGGCCTGCAACTGTCATCGCTCTAGTTTTTTATGAAACTTTGTTTCCATGCTAACTGAATCCCAATGTATCGAACATGAAAAGAACTTCCTTGTATACCAGGATACTAGGTATTTTGTAACCCGGCCTTTCGGAATGATATGCTGATTCCCAGTTTTTTCCTCTTTTTTTGCCTGATATTTCTTCCCAGGTTGCTAATAATTTAGACAACCTCACATTTGGTACCCGCAACTTTGTGATTATAGTGATATAAATTAGAAATCGAATCTAAAGCTATGTGAGGAAATAATGCAGATTAGAGGAAATGGTTACCAGATAGTGGATACCAAAGAATATTAAAAGGGTTATCCTAACAAGGACTCGTACTACATGATAGCTGTCTTCTCCCGTCTTAATTTTGGGGATCTCCTCACTGAACACCCAATTATATGCAACTTTTTTCATCTGTGTGCAGTTCTATCTGGATATGAAGTTTGTCATATGCTTTGCTTCTCAAGGTCGTTACCTATCTCGAAATTTGAATCGAGCTATTAACGAGATCATATCTAAAGCCATGGCAGCATTTTCTGCAACAGGCATGGATCCCAATAGGTATGCTTTGATCATCATCAATAATATACGCACACATGTACATGTAGATGCATAACATAAATGCACATATATTGAGTCGTAATTGCAACTTATTCTATTTTTAAGTAAAAATTATCCTGGAAAATATTCTGGACCCAGTAAAAAAAAAAAAAAAAAAATCACCTATGGTGACATCTTTAAGCAAAAATTATCCTGGAAAATATCCTGGACCCAGTAAAAAAACAAATCACCTGTTGTAAAAAAGTTTTGGGTAAAACCTTCCAGCACGACACTTCCATCTTTTTTACGCTGGATGCTTTTATCTGTTTTATTTTATTTATTTTTAATTTTGTCATTTATACGAGAACAATCTAAAGGGATTTGATATATCTTGATCGATCTTTTTCTATATTTATTATATTCTTTGTAATTTACTGTATTCCGAGGTCTGATTTTGTTGTGATTACATGACGTATAGCGTTTGAGCAGTTGATTTACTGTATGCTGGGTTGTAATCTTGTTTCAGTGTCCTTCCGGAAGATGAGTGGTTCAATGAAGTCTGTCAAGACGCAATTGAAAGATTAAGTGGGAAACCAAAAGCTGTGAACGGGGATCGGGATCTTAATAGCCCGACCGCCTCTGTTTCAGCACAATCAATCTCATCTGTTAGATCTCATGGGAGTTCCTGAGGCACATCAAGTTTCATCTCTCTGTAAATTAAGTAGAAAACTATCCTTGGATCCTTTAGAATTCTTTCACCCCTCCAGTATAATTTTGGTCGTCATCATCCTTTTCCCTCATTTTTTTTTTTCTGGAGGACGACGTTTCGTCTCACAAGGCTAGGAATTCTTTTTGAATGATTTGAGTTTGTAAAGTTGATTGCAGTTTGATCTGAATACGACTTTGTATAATTCTTTCACAAATTCGGGCAGAGTCGCATAATCTGTATTGATATCGTCGTTACCCCGAGTTCATGTGAATAATGTTTTATTTGTTGGAACCATGGAAGATATGTTTCTTAGGTTGAATATTTCCTTCCATTGAGAAAAGAAGACATTTACCGACATGTTAAATATTTCCCTTAAAATTGCATATCGAACCTACATTGCACATGTTCACAGATACTTCACCATCCAGTAAGATTAAACAGCACTAAAAGTACACCGGTCACAACAACCGATATGGAAAAATTCAAAAGCTAGCCTTTTGTCCTTCTCACTTGGGAATCTGCATCTAACAATTGCTTGATAACAGCTCTCATCGTGGGTCTCTTTTTCGGATCTTTCTCAGTACATCTGAAAGCCACCATAAGCACCTCGATAACTTGATCCATGGTGGTTGAATCCAGAAGTTCCTCCTTAAGCCTTGAATCGACGATCTGATCAATTTGTTCCGTGCTGCTCCACGCTGACTTAGCCCATCCTGCAATGTCAGTTTGCTCCATAAACGATGGATCCAATGCCTTCTTCCTAGTTAGCAGCTCAAGTAAAACGACCCCGTAACTGTAAACGTCAGATTCCACGCCCCTTGCTGTTGTAAATGCATTTTCTGTCAAAAGCCATGAAAAAATAACAATTCAGTTCATTGAGTGCATGAAATGCACAACCATTTCTGAATAAAAAATAACCTAGAATAATTACCTGGTGCAATATATCCGGTTGTACCCACAACTGCTATGGATGTCGTTGGTGAAGAAGACCGCTGATCCAGAAGTTTAGCAATACCAAAGTCAGCAATATGGGGCTCCATATCAGAGTCCAAGAGGATGTTCATAGGTTTGATGTCTCGATGCACTATCGCGGGATCACAATCGTAATGGAGATATTCCAACCCGTATGCAGTTCCAAGCGCTATCCTGTAGCGAACACTCCACTCAAGAGTTGGTTGGGGTTCAATTTCATGTAAAACATCATGAAGGCTCCCATTTTCCATGTACCTATACAAGATTAAACCGTGGTCGTTTCTTAACCAGAAGTTTTCCAATCTAACCAGATTCCGGTGCCTAATTGCCCCAAGGGTTTGAATTTCTCGAACCATGCTCAAACGCCTTCCTTCGTGCCCCGCAAATTGAAGCTTCTTGACTGCATAATCTTGGTCTGTCGCCAAGGAGGCCTTATAGACTGTTCCATGGGCTCCTCTCCCGATGATATAGTGACCATTCAGGTTTTCTGTAGCCTCCAGCACCTTGTCGAGCAAGGCAGATGGCCCCTCTTGAGCAGAGATCTGAAGATCGTGCTTGGCCCTTTTGCGCCACAGGAACAGATAAATCAGCCCATAAAGCACAAAAACAACAAATATCGAGGATCCTAGAGCTGTCAATGCAATTTGCACTTTACCAAGGCCTTTCCGGTTGCTTGGTGGGCTGTTGCAAGGCTTAAAACTGTTGTTTCCCGCGCACGTTGAGCCACATGATGGAAGGTAATTGACACATATGTAGGGATTGCCCAAAAATGACGATTGGGATGAGTTCAACAGCTTCATCAACGTCTCCGGTACCGGGCCTGTGAAGTTGTTGTCTGAAACATGAACCTCAGTTAGTGAACTCATACCGTCGAGCGCTTTTAAAGTCCCTGTCAAATTGTTACGAGAAAGATCTAATTGTTGTAGCCTTATCAGCTGCCCTAGCTCTGCAGGAAGCGGACCTGTCAATCCATTGTTGCTAAGATTTAAAGCATAAAAGATACTCTTCAATGCTCCAATCGATGGTGGAATCACACCTCCGAACAGATTTCCACCAAGCTGTAGCTCTGAAAGCTTTTCGAACTCCGACAAGAAAGTTGGGATGCCACCAGTGAAGCTGTTGTCGCTTAAAATCAGCGTTGATAAACCTGTCCAACTTGTCAGAATTGACGGAATGGAGCCGTTCAACAAGTTGGACCGCACATCAAACTTATCCATTTTGGTACACTTGGATAGTTGAGGAGGCAGAGAACCAACCAAATTGTTGTGGAAAAGAACCAAAGTACGGAGCTTTGCAAGATTCCCCAGCTCCGGCGGTATAGCTCCGGTTAACTTGTTTGTGGACAAATTGATAGTTGTGAGGTTGCCACAGTTTCGCAAGCTTGATGGAATTGCTCCACTAATCTCATTGCTGCTGATGTCCATATGATCGAAGTTTGGATTTTCTGCAAATTCCGGGAGAGCTCCACTGAGGTTATTCCGTTCAAGCTTCAACCTCCAGAGAGTGGGGCAATATCCAACATCAGAAGGTATGGAACCTTGAAGTCGATTGGAAGCCATAGTCAACACCCTTAAGCGCTTTCCATGGCAAAGATTTGGAGGGATTGTACCAGTGAAGTTATTATACATAAAATCTAACTGCACTAGACTGCTGTTAATCCCCAGACCTTGAGGTATAACTCCAGAAAACAGGTTGTTAAACAACGAAATATTCTGCAGTTGCTTCAGCTCAGTCATCTCCACAGGCAGCTCCCCCGTGAGGCTATTATTGTACACAAGGATGTGCTGAAGACTCTGAATCTTCCAAATGCTAATTGGGATTTCACCAGTTAACCTGTTCTCAAACAATTCAAGATCCTGCAATTTGGTCAGCAGCCCCAATTCACTAGGAATTTCTCCCTCTAGTTGGTTCGTATACAAGTGTAGTCCAGTCAAGGACGTACACTTACCAAGTTCAGGAGGTATTTTCCCAGACAAACGGTTCTCAGGAAGGTACAGAAGTTGAAGCTTCCCTAGTTGGCCAAAGGACGACGGGATGGTCCCCATTAAGTTGCTACTCACAGCAGCAAACTGTGTTAAATTACTACAATTTCCCAGGCTTGATGGAAGACCTCCACTAAACTGATTGCGTGACAAATCCAAGAAAAACAAATTCTTGCAATCCCCAGAACCCAAATCAATCCTACCCTCGAGATGATTCTCCCTAACGTCAAGATACACTAGGTTCCCAAGATTGTTCAGACTCTTAGGCAGGACTCCACTCAACTGGTTATCACCCAAATACAACTCCTCCAATTTACTTAAATTCCCAACATTTGCAGGGATGGAACCATTCAAACTATTCTCATACAGATCAATATGGACCAAGCTGGAAATCGAAAACAAGGGTTCAGGGATTTCACCAGAAAAATGATTTACTGACAAATTCAAGTACTCAAGTAAAGTACAATTGGCCAACCCGGTTGGGATTTTGCCACTAAAGTTGTTGGAACCCAAAGAAAGAGTCTGCAAAAACCTAAAGCTGCCAACTTCAGGACCCAATTGACCAGAAATTCCAAACCCGGTGAGGTTTAAGGCAACCACATTGTGGGATTTATCACATTGGATTCCAACCCATTGGCAAGGATTGGAATCAGAGGCATTCCAGGTGGAGGATATTGGGGTTGGGACTATAGTCCAGTGCTTGAGGAGGGACAACATTGCCACCCCATCAGAGCTCAAGCTAGATACAAGAGGTATGGGGACAGAAAAGAAGAATAACAATAAGAAGAAGAAATTTGAGAGAGAAAGCTGCATGCTTTGGTGTCTAATTTTAGATGAAAAGAAAAAATGAAAATTATTTGGTAAAGATACGAGCTTTAGCTACTGCATGTAGGTTCAGCTTTCCCTTGCATTTGAGTGAGTTGGAAACCGAGTGGAACAGTTTGAGAGAGAGAGAGAGAGAGAGAGAGAGAGAGGACGATGTTGGGATTTTGGTAAAGATTTGAGCTTTAGTGGTAAGTAAGCTAATTTGAGCTCACAGTAAAACCCAGCAGCATGTAGATTGAATTGAGTTGGAAACTGAGTGGAAAAATGTTTGAGAGAGAGAGAGAAGATTGTGTTGGGGTTTTTGGCATGGCGGTTGAGGCTGTTAAATAGCGTAGAATTGAGTAGAATATGGAGTGTTTTTTTTTTTGTTTGGTCAAAGAATATGGAGTGTTTATACGCGGTCTTCTGGTTGGAGCCACATTTTGGAGACTTGTGTGGACTATAATCGTACTTTTATAACCTGACGGAACCAAGAAACAACAGACTCTTTTCCGGTGTGTTTTGTGTGTGTTATTTGACAACTAAAATAATAAAAACTAAAATTTGTTTTTTGTGTGCGAACATTGAACAAAGCATGAAGATGAGTACTTTCTAGTGAAATTGTGTGATGAAATCAGGGCAGGTGGATGCTTGTGTTCACACAAACATGCCTGCAGGGTCGTTTCACCTTTTGACCACAACGTATTGGATCATTTTTCTAGAAATCCAAGATATCTCATAATCGTTGCTATTCATATTACATCGTGTAGTCAGAAATAATTTTAAATTAAATATAAATAGTACATAGCAAAAATTGACCGTATGATATATGATGAACGAACACGATTACAGGATCCCCTAAATCCATTCGAGGATCCTTTTCCCAATGTATGAATTCAATATTACATGTGTTTTAACAGTTATATTTAAATTTTATAATTAATAGATTTTTTTTTATTTATTTTAACTGTTCATTTTTCTTACCTACTATATATTATTGAAAAAAATATATAAAAATGTTCGTGTTTTGATTTTATTAATTAAAAAGTGGGGCTTATATATATTTTCAAAAATGAGAATTGACATTTCTCCATATTTTCGAGCGTTTGATTTTTCAATAGGATGTTAAGTTTTCTCTCATGCGCCTTAAATTTAAAACTCCCATTTCTTAAATTAATGTAATAATTATGAACTTTAATGTAATAAACATGGACATGAGATTCACATGCTTTGGAGGTAAGCAAACAAATTAACAAGTTTGTGAACTGATAATTGTTTATCGGAAGCATTCCTAAGTTCTCTTAAATAATAATAATTTTAAAAAAAAAATACCAACCATATTTCTCAATCCCCAACCCCATTTGTTACAAGATAAACATGGACATCAGATTCGCATGCTTTGGAGGTAAGCAAACGAAAACTGATAATTGTTTATGCGCACGCGTTAATTTAATTGTCAATATACACATAAAAGATTATATAATTAACATAAAAATACCACAATTGCAATATATTCGTATTATATAAATTGTCTGTGGATTATTATTGTATTGTATATGCCATATTTAACCACTCCTCAACTACACTAAAGCATCAATTATTTATTGTTTTTGGTTGTTAAACTGTCAATACAAAGGCAAATCCTTCAGCATTACAATGACATTACGCAATGTGAAAACAAGGCATGGATTTGCGTATGTCTCGTCCAAAAGTGGAGCTGACCGCACACGACCACGTCAATACGGGGAACGAGAAAAGGATTCCTCCAACTATTTTAAGGGAGGGAGGCCCTACTTAACTACCATCAATTGTGACTTCTGACCTTCTGCAAAATAAACATGGTATTTTACTTGTAAAAAATATAATTGAGCGTAATACTTGGTGCGCGGGTAAATTCAGGGTTTTGACAATGAAATTGTGGGGGATGGATTGTCTGCCCTCCCATTTCCATACTCTTCTCATGCTCTCCTATTTATGTGATCACAGTTAAACCACGTCAACAGTTTATGTTCCTGTTACTTTTTGTTTTATTATTTCTATAAAAAATTAATATAAAATGTTGACGTAACTTAACCGTAACCATACATTACAAGAAGGCATGAGAAGAGTATGGAAATGGAAGGGCAGACAATCCACCTCCGCAATTGTGGACGGGAATAAAATAAATACATGGTAAACTATTGTGGAAAAAAAAAAATAACCACCTCTCAATTAGTTTTATTCCTAATGATATATTATCTGTCACCTCATAATTTAACGTTAATTATTGTACCGATATTATAAAACCAAAAATATAAGATGACAAAAAGTACATAGAAAGGCAGTGAGTCGCCTTAGCTTTTCTCACATTCCAATCCCATTTGACAAATGTGGTCGAAGGAAAAAAATATCGGAAACATGGACCAAGACCCATGAACCGTTACATCTTTAGTCTCCAGATTTTTAACCAACGATCCGACGGTTATGGATATCGGTCCATACTATGGGTCAATCCATTCTAGTTGCGAAAGCACATATAGAAAATCAGTGGGTATGATCAAAATCAAGAGCACCCAATAAGGTCAAGTAGGTCATGCATAAAGTGAAGCAAGAATTGCAAACCACCCACTTTCTATTTTTCTTCACTTTCCAGTAAGTCTTCACAAACTATGAATTCAGTTCGCTTACAAGTAATCAATGGCACGCAAGGACCAACGCATAGTTCCATCATATTTGCTTCAAACTAGTTATGGAAAAAATGTGTTTCCTCTCGCCGATAAACATCAAGATACCTACTAATCTCGAGGCCAGAGGTACAACAAAATTTCTTGATGATTGCCTAGTGAAGTAATATTACCTGAAACAAACGAGCACCCGAAGACACCTGACCTCCTCAAATGAATAGTGCATTGTCATTTGGTATTGGAATATCCTGTATATAAACCACACAGCATGTATATAATACCCAACATCTTTCTGAAAAGTCATGCTTCGAACATCTTGAATGGTAAAACTGCATGTCTAGCTCCTCGCTTAAACGATGATCTATGACTAGTCTAAGTTATTAGTATGTCGTGGGGATGGAAATGACAAACGTGATGGAAACGGAAAACATGATAATTAATGGTGTGTTTTCCTAAGTATCCACAACGGAATGGAAGTTATGCCATCAAATGGAACTGAGGACCACCTTCAGATGATTGGTGGAGATAAGTTAATCACTCAAACCTATGTTAAAAAATAATGTAAGCTAGCAAGATGTCTATATGGGTGGGCATTCCTAATTTCGACATACAACAATTTAATCTGTAGACCAATGCACGACCCACCACCCTACAGATGATAACAATATTTTTGCCCCTAATATTGCATTAACACATACTGCTGAAATATGCATGTCACAAATACGCTATAAGATGATAACAATTTGAGCCCCTAATATCCAGGCATTAACACATACTGCTGAAAATGCATGTCACAAGTACGTTATAACATGGCCAAATGGTATGTTCATGATGCCACTAAGTGCATTCATTCACATGAGGGGAGATGCTAATGCTGATGACGTGACTATGAAATGGATGCATGCAACAGCTGCAAGATGCATCCTATCATGTGGTTGTGATTGTCTCTAGCATAAGGAACAGAGTACATCCCCTTCAAGCTACTGGTATGTCATAGCCGGTGGAGCTCCATTGGCAGCAGGGACAGCACCAGGGTGGTTTCCATCCTTCCTTTTCCCAAATGGGTTCTTTGAATATGTATTTATAAGTCAAGGAAAAAACATATATTGCCAATCACAAAAGGAACATAGACAAGTCATGAGTAACATATATATCTGTGGTGAGGTGGATCAGAATTCAGAATATATATATATATATAGAAGTTATTTTAAGGAATATTGGAACTAAAATTATTCTGTAAGATAAAAATCTTGCTGCAAATGCCATTTGGTAATCTAAACTTTGGTATCACTATGATATACCAAGCATAAAAGGGTATTCAAACCTTTTATTCATTTAACATTAATCAGTCACACTGACGCACAAAGAAAAGGCACATCAACAGATGACTTGTGCACGTCACTAAATAGGATTTGCTAAACTCCATATACTAAGTTAAGACCAAATACTAAGTTAAGACAACTTTCGTGATTATGTAGAGCATCAACATACTATACATCTGGAAACCTAGATTAAAAAATAGGGCAAGAACCTGATCGATCTGACTCAGCATTGGATCATATAACCCATAAAACAAAAATCCATCCTAGAAAACAGAGTTTTGGAAACATGAATGTTACAGGTGACTTGAGAAAGTAGAAACTAGTCACCGTCATACATGTAAAACAGTCCAGCAACCAGGTACATGAGAGCACGAATTTTGACCTATGCTTATTTATACTTGCAGTCCAATTACTATTAAGTTGCACAAACAACAAACAAAATATCAGCCATAAGAAAATTCCAAAAGGATATTGTATTCTCATGCCCACAGAACCAGAACTGGGGATAACAGCACCCTGCAAAGCGTGGTGCACATTGGTGGCACTGTTCACATCCTGCATGGGTTATACAGAAAATCTGTTTAGTAAATATAGAAAAGGGCAGGCACTCAGAATATTTATCCCAATATGAAAGCGTCAATGAACAGCGTTTAATTGCTAAATATTACTTACTTCAAACTCAATGAAACAAACAGTATGCCTTTCTTGTCTTAAGATCTTCATTTGCTTAAATCCAGGTTGTCTGCATTACCAAAAATTTATATTTAGCTTGACACCTTTCTTATGAAACAAAGAAATGAAACACATCCTAAGATAAGGGATGAGACATTCATACGAGCTGAAAAGGCCCCTCAGTTCTTCCTCATTAATTGTCTCTCCCAGATTTCCAATAAATAAGGTATTGCACGGTGGGTTATCTTTAGTGTTCTGCAGGAAACAAGAACCATCATAAAGAAGAAAAAATTATATTTACTGGCTTCCTACATCATGGACAGTCAACAGTAATGAAAAAATTGGCCACTACGAAACAACAAAAGCACAGCAAACAGGAAGAAAGAAAGTGGGGAATACACAAACAAAATAAGCTACATAAAGGGAAGAAAATAAATCTTTGGACTGTGAATAGAACAAGTAAAAATGAATAGCTAATCTGCTTAGTTAGTTTAAATATCATTTTAAGGCTGCACTTCAGTTTTTTTATTCTTCGATATAATATACATTCATTTATATAAACAAGAGAAGAAGGGGTACAGTGGTTGTTTGACTAAGTGATGGCTAGACAAACTATATGTCTTGATAAATATCAATATCTCAACTCCCCACACACACCCCAATCCAAAGTTAAAAAAAAAAAAAAGGAAATTTGTGAGGTTCATGCAAACTCATAAATTAGCAAACACAAACTCTTTACCCAACATTTTACACACACAAAGCATAGTGGATTACCAGAACAGGTACATAGCTACTCGGTGCTGGTACAGGAGGAGGAGGATGCATTTGTACTGGAGGAACAGGATAACCACCATATGGATCATACGTAGGAGGTGGTGGAGCCAGATACCTGGGCCACACGAGCAACATTCACATGAGAAAATGTGAAATATCCAGAAAGGAAAACATATGCTCTATTGAGCAGCAGAAACAACTAAATTTTATTTCGAAATTAGATGAGCAATGTTTGATTACCCGTGTGGCCCCCAAACAGGTGGAGGAGGAGGATGAAAAGGAGATGGACTGCTATAGCCAGCCTGTGAGTAGTCACCACCAGTTCGCAAACGTTTACTCTGATCATAAGGGCTTGTATCGCCTACAATTCCTATAGTTTCCAACTCAAATTAGATAGTCACAAAACATTCAACCAAACTCTCTAAGCTAACCAAAAACCATTGTTATTACGATTCGAACCAACATAATGCGGTAATGATAAACATAAGTAATAGAACCGATACTTGCCCATTACCGGAAACAGGAAATTCTCCCCTATTCCACTAACAAAATTGAACTTTAATCCAAATACAATGATTACTACACAATGTAGATAAAACTCTATGAACTAGATCCCTAACAAAATACCGAAAACAATAAAACTCTCCAATTCAATTCAAAAAGTAACAAATTGATCACCATCCTCACCTCTTTTAACAAAAAGATTCTTCTTTGCCATCTCCGTGTGCAGCACAGCCTTCGACTCCGAATCGAAAATCATACCCTAAACCCCAAAATCCAACAAAAACTCAAAATTTCAACATAAACATCAAAATCAAAATTCAACCGTAAGAAATTATTCAAAGCTAACCTGAAGGGCGTCTTTGGCAGCAATGGCTTGATGAGCAGTGGAAAAGAGCGCGAAACTCATAGGCTTCTCGCCTTTGTTGTTGACCTGCGAGGCCTCGTATCCTGGCAACCATCTCAGGAGGTTCTGTATCTCTCTCTCCTTCACATCCTCAGGAAGACCAGTGATGAATATGGTGCGAACCTCATCGGTAAGGGGTCGGTTCGGGTTGTCGACGAGGTGGTGAGGAGGAGGAGGAGCTATAGAGCCGACAGCCGTAGGGGGAGGCGGAGGAGCGGCGGCTGCGGGCTGCCATTGCTGGTGGTACGGGTGGATCCCAGCGCCGGCCATATCCGATTTGTACGCAAAACCCTAGAGAGAGAAACAGAGGGAGGGAAGGAGGAGAGAGTTGAGAATTTTTCGGAGGTAAAAGTTGAGCGTTTGGAATGGGATTTTGCCGCGAGCGATCGGGAATTTGCCGAATAGGGTTACAGAAAACTGCAACTCTACAGGATGCGAACGCTCTGATTCACTTCCAATAATTCAATCGCGTGACGACACGTGCCAAAGCAAGATCGTGTGGTTTATAACATTTTCGGTATTTTTGAGTTTATTTTATTTCTTCTTCCCTCGGAGAGTTTTTGTGATGTTTATTACACCGATTTATAAATCTATAAATTTTGATAAAATTTGAGAAATTTTAATGAAAATGTTATGGATTTTAATTGATTGTTAAAGATTTAACATAAAATTTTGAGTGAATACCCTCAAAGGAGAAAGGTGAGATTTGAAAATAGTTAAAAATATTATAAAATCTCTCGAATTCCCTCACTTTTTTTTTTGAATAAACAATATTATCTACACTAAGAGGAGGACTAGCTTAGCCTCACAATAGGCTAGCAATAATGTGGTTCAAATTCAAATTCACCTTTGGGGAGAATCGAGTCTAAGACATCTCACTTACAAGTGAAGAAGAATACTAATAGACCGTATTATTGAGTGACCTCACTTTTTAAACCCTTTAAATCAGTTTCTAATCTAATACCCCTATAATGTTATAAGCTCATTTAAAATCATGATTTAATACACCTAAACTTTCAGATGATCACTTAAAATCTTGATTAAATATCCTTGAATTTGTAAACAGATTTAAAATCGCTCTACAAATTGAATACACCTTCTAAATCTAGGTATTACAGTATAAACAACATTGATTTGTCATAGACTTTGAGTGTTCCGCACTAAAAAACTTCTCAACAGCTCATTCATCATGGTTGGAGTAATAATATAAATATTCAATGCAAGATAATCGTCATGTTAACAACCACATCATTAAGACCGGTCATCATGTTATGCACGATCGACCTCTACCAACTTTTAGGTGGTGAGATTTGAAAGTTGAAACATAATACCAAGAAGGAAATTTAGCAAGGTATAAATATATATTGTAGTAACACCAATTCGTCAAGATTTTGCCTCTACCAAAGCTTGGAAACCCAACCTAATTCAGCATATAGCTTGCTTGCCTCCCAAGACATTACCCAATGAATACCAAGCATAAAAGAATTCTGCTGGTGCTTATTACTGAAAAACTTCTAGCATTAATGTCTGCATTTACCAAAAGAAAATTGGAAAACTTCAACAGAATTACCATACAAATAAGTCCACACACTAGCAGAAGAATTACTTCTATTACTACACCAGCACTGACAATAATCGAACAACAACAACATCGATAAGAATCGCAGAATGCGGATAAAGAACTACCAAAACTAACTAAAACATCAATCCTAATACTACCGGCTTCTGGCTTATCATGTTGGCGCGAAATACATTACCATCTAGACTAAATTCATGGCGCAACCAGGGACACGCAGAGCTGGCCGGCCTCTTTGTTTACTGCTGAAGAAGAAGAAGAACATTACTTAAACCAACTGTGATTTTTTTTTTCCTGCACCAGAAGCCTTCTCATTAGGTTTTTACTATAGCTTAAGGAACACAAACTCTTCGATATCAGGTACCTTCCCGATTTTATTGAGCAACTCCTCTTTCGGTTCCTCATCCACTCCAATCGCCATTATGGCCTTCTTCTGGACAGTTCTTCCCACACTCATAAAGTTCACATTCACATTCTCGGTCCCAAGTATGTTCCCCACCTGCCCAATCATGCCTGGATGATCCACCTGCCGGCACAGAATGAGATTTCCCTCGAGGCTCACATCCACGCCAAACGTTCCTAACAATGTCAGATGGGGCTTGCCATATTTCACTTTCCCCTCAATGCTTATGTTTCCATTTTCGGAAACACAACTTGCAAATTTGGACTCCACTTTGGAAATGTGTACTTGGATTGAAGCGATAGGGCACCCTGGAGATGCGTCGACAGCTACCCTTTCCTCGCTTATGTGCAGACCTTTATCCTTCGCAATGAAATCTGCATTGACTAGATTGATAAATGAGGCAGATATCGGTTCGATGATGCCTTTGGTGATCATGGCCCTGAGAAGTCTGGTATCCAAGTCATCGGGGTGGCGAGCTGATTGGTAAACCACCCTCACAGATTTAATCCCACTTCCTCCTGCTACTAATTGTACAGCCAACTTTCCCAGCTTCTCGGCTAGCACAACATATGGAGACAACTCAGCCAGAACCTGAGAACATGAAAATTTTGTGAGCTTAGTTAATCTTCCACGAATGTTGCCTATTCCTCTTCTACTAATAAAGCAACATACCTCAGGAGAGACCATGGGAGCGTTGACAGCGGTTGCAGAAAGTTCACCTCTCAATGCTCCAACAACAGCTTCTGCTATTTCAATGGCAACACCTTCCTGAAAGTATTATGTTTTGTGCATAATTTGATGAGTTAAAGGATGTAAGATATATCTTTCGAAAACTTTGATCAGTATCGGAGAAATTAAACGTGCCTGAGCTTCCTTTGTGCTAGCTCCTAGATGAGGTGTGACTGTTACATTCTCATGTTGCACGAGCTTACTATCTTTGGATGGAGGCTCCTCTTCGAACACATCAAGTGCAGCCTGTTACGAAACAATGTAACAAACGTAACTGTATGTTAGCATAGATCAAAACAATATTAAAGTAAGCAGAAAAAAATGGAGAAAATGTGGGTGATGGAATATACAAATGATGTTTCTCCCTCTACAGAAGAGCGAAGAAGAAAAAAATAGGTGTGCGGAAATCACTTTCTTCCTTGAAAACATGCTATTTACAATTGTATCTTCAACACTGTCAGCTTTGACATAAATTAGAGAATCATACCTGAGCAACAATTCCACTGTCAAGAGCTCTCACTAGTGCATCTTCATCAATGACTCCACCTCGGGCAACATTAATGATTCGGACTCCCTTCTTCATCATTGCGAATGTTTTATCATTGAACACCTTTGACGTAGTAGGGGTGAGAGGCATGTGCAGTGATATGAAATCTGCAGTGCCAAGTGCCTGCTCAAAAGAGACCAAATCCACACCAATTGCGCGCGCTCTATCAGCCGGTGCATAAGGATCATGTGAAATAACATGCATTCCCAAGCCTTTCGCACGTCTAGCAACTTCGGATCCAACTTTTCCAAATCCCATAACTGCCAATGTTTTCCCAACTAGAGAGACGCCAATGTACTTGTTTCGTTGCCACTTCCCTGCAAAAGTCCGGCACCAAAGTTAGCATTATGTGCAGGTTAGCAGTAGAACTTCAAAGGAAAATGCAGTCCATCCTTACACGTACACAAAGAAAATGTGTCAACATGTTCTTCAAGGGATCAAAACTAAAACAATAACGTGTCAACCAAAATTTTTTACAGTCGATTTAATGAACAAAATTTTGAATTTATTGATCTCGAAAATTATGGAAATTGCAGCCCTTTCATTCACTTAGTAGAACCAACACATGTTTAGTCCAGAAACAATCAAACTCAAAGTTTGATAGTATTCATTTTTACTTCTACATTCCTTCCTTTGTTTCTGACTCGTATTTCTCTTTTCAATAGTCAAACGTCGGAAACATTGTGGAGTGTACTGGGAGAAGAGTGGAGTGCAGAAATCATTTCCCGGTTAGAAAACCCTCAGTCAGTCATATTTGTCTTTGATAATCAAAAGGGAAGGACCCTTAATTCCTAGCTATTAGTAGATAAAATATGTCTGACAGAATTCGATTCCTTTTCAACTTGGGAATAAAATTGTTCCTGCATGCCATGCTCGCATGCTCACATGTGCATCCACCTGTGGAATGTGTCGGTTCAACAGCATCCATTCAAATTATATGTACATAAAAGGTTAGGACATGGAGACACAGTTTTTTACACATATTTTGACACTTATTTGTAGGTCACATTTCGTAATATATTTCAACAATTCAAACCCGTTATATTTTAGCACATCATTTATGATGAAGAAAATGGACAAATACAGTTCTACAAAGATATACTCAATTTAATCAACGGTCATGTGATTTCGGAATTGAGTATTTTTGGTAGAAATAATTTTTGAAATAAGACATAAAAATAAATAATTAAATCATTGAAATAAATGACAAAATGAGCTCAGCAAAAACGTGCATCAAAATATGTGTTTTCCAATTCATAAATCCGTAGACGCTTTCGTTCACTTGTTGCTTGGACAATCATATTTCTACCCAGACAGCGACAGATCCATATAAATTCAATGCGCACCCACTAAATTCAATGAATTGTAAAGGTACAAAAGCGGAAATCCGACCCCGGCATACTCTGTGCGACTGTGAGTCGCGACATCAAGCTAGACAAAAACTATTTACTTTTGCAATAATTCGATAACAATTGTTTTGCTCGAGAGAGAAAATAACCCATCAAGTGTATCTTTAGCTTAGGTCTTTGATCCTGCAACGGGATTGCAAGTAAGAGCATTTGCCTTTACATCTAAAATAGCAAATTTGAGTCCTTACCTCTCAATATAGCTTGTATTGCATAGGAAAAAACAGCTTTAATCTTTAATCTCAAGGGCAAATTATTATGGCTTTTTAGCTAAAACAGGTCTTAATATTGACATAACTTCTTACTTTGATTCTTGACAATGAACATCTATAGAATTGGTCCCTGAGTTTGTCCACTCTAAATCATTTTGGTCATTTCGTGACAAATCTGTTAATTCCTCGTTAAATTGTCATGTGAAGACCACGTAACCGTCTTTTGAGAGCATTTTTATCAAACCCCTCCACTTAACGAGGGTTTTGACGGAATAACCCAAAACGATTTCCGGTGAACAAACTCAGGGACTACTTCTATCAATTTTCATTGTTAGAACCAAAATGAGGAGTTATGCCACTTTTAGAGACTATTTTGGTTAAAAAGCCAATTATTATCAACAACCAAAGTATACTACTAATTTATATTATGTTAATTGAAGGTTAAAACTGGAAATTTAAAAGTTTCATTTTTGCTTAAATTTTTATTTTTTTTTTGTACATCGATATTTTTTCTTAAAAATTAACTCAAGTGATTTTTATACATGTCCGTTCTCTCCTTTTAGATCCTTTTCATTTGTCCTTTGATATTAGGTAACGAATGGAGAGAGAGAGAGATATTGAAGTGCATAAATCACTTCTCAAATTTAATAATAAACCAAAATAGTTGGCCTAACAAATATAAAAAGATGAGTACGAAGCGAGTTGCAAACTTAAACATTAGTTTGAAATTTCACATCCAAAAAGGAAAATCTATGCTTACCTTAAAACATGTTATTTGCAAATAATTGCACATATTAAAATTTGATTTCATCCGAAACTAGGAAGTGCATGGGTCCTGAGAATTTTCTTAGAAAACTAAAACTATTAATAAAACAACAAATTAAATAAGTGTTAATTACCAGCTTTGATGGAAGCATCAGCTTGCGCAACATTTCGTGACATGGCAGTGAGTAGCGCAATCCCGTGCTCTGCGGCGGCCACGGTGTTTGCCGTGGGCGCATTAACGACCAGACATCCAAATTCTGTGGCCGCCTGCAGATCCACATTGTCTATCCCCACGCCAGCTCTCCCCACCACCTTCAACCTCCCTTTGGCCGCCTCAAACACCTGCCTGCTCACCTTCGTTCCACTCCGAACGATCAAAGCGTCGCATATCGAGATCTTGGCGCAGAGCTCCTCAGGGGAGAGGTCATACGCGCACTCCAAGTTGCCAAAGCCACGTAGGACTTGGAGACCGGCTTCTCCGAGTTTTTCGGAGACCAGGATGGTCGGAGTTGAATCTGAAGACGGTTGCTTGGGAAGCTGGGAGGACTTTGAAACGTATGTGTCGGATGATGACTCAGCTGTTTTTAGAACGTTGGTTATGAGAAAAGAATGGGAACGCAAATTATGGGAATGGGAGAGTTTTAAGGATATGGGGTTGGAGGTGGTGTGGAGGAAGGAAAGGAGGTAGGGTTTGGATGGTGGTGGCGGGACTTGAGACAGCGTCGGTGAGGCGGTGAAGGCGGAGGAGGAGATGACCTTGATGGAGGAGGAAGCCATGGAAGCTAGGAAGCGTTTTGTAATTTTTTTTTTCCTGTGTTTTTGGGAATCTGTGTGATTGTGGGCCGGTGTCTTGTTTTTTTAAAGTCGTTGGGATATTAAAGCAGAGTTTGTAATTAAACCAAATTTGGGTTAATTTAAAAAAAAATTTAGCTTTTAATTAGGTATGCATGGTTTGTTGAATAGGAGAGGATGTAACTAAGAATAGACAAAGTTTTGGAGATCGAATTTTTTTACTTTTGATTACAGCCACTGCAGTGTTTGTCCTCTAAAACCATGGGTTCTAGTTGCACGAGTGAATTTAGAAAGCAACACGTAAAAGTAACCATTTCGGCTTTTTCAACTAAAATGGTCATTGAGATTGGTATAATTTTTTATTTTAGTCTTTGAGATTTAAAATCGATAGACATGGCCCCTCGGTTTGTATTTTTGTCATTTTGATCCTTATTCAACAGAAATTTTTTACGGAATGACCAAAATGATTAACAGTGAACGAACTCAAGGACCATTGATTTCAAATCTCAAGAACCCAAATAAAAAGTTATGTCAATCTCAATAACTATTTTAGCTAAAAAGTTTTCTTTTCTTTTATGCTATAGGAATCGTAACATACTCTCATTTATGAGATTCAAAGTGAAAATATCTTCCAACCAAATATAGACATATGTTATTAAACCAAATGGTCGTTAGCAAAGAACTTTAAGAACACAAAAAGTCATGGCATACCATATTCATTGATTTTTTGCGACGAATATGAGATTTTCATGACTTCCACGACTCAATCCCTCGTTGTAAAAGTCCTTGGTTTAAACTTGCAAGAGTGTTTTGCGTCCAGGGCATTCAAAAATTCAGATTTGCTCATCTGCTCATCGCATACTTGTTCATTACTAGAGGTTAATTTGCATGGACGCATTTGGCATTCCTTTTAAATCAACGATCCTTCTTCCTAATCACGGTCTCTGTTTCCATATTTTCTGAACTTTTAGGTACAAATTTGACAAATGAATTGCAACCCTAGGCTTTTAGGATCTTTGGTTTTCGTAGAGGCTTCAAGTTTTCCCATATTGTTTAGGCTTCGCTTCTCTACTTTAACCAAATCTCTATAACAAATAAGGCTTCATTTCTCTACCTAAAAACGAGTTTGGTCAAATATAGGAGAAAATTTTCAGTGTGCCGGAATACGACCCGTTACATCAAGTGTTATAGTATAAGTCATTGAATTATTTTTTTTTCAAGTATCCAACCACTATTATGACAGTTGTTTGCAGAGCCGTGTTTCTGACACACTGAAAAAAACTATCCAAATATAAATCCCATGATTGGTCAGCTAAGATAGACAAGCACCGACCTTTCATTTTTTCCAATCAAGTATAGCCACGAGTCACTACTTCCAAGTTTCACGTAACTAAGAGCTATATGAAAATTAACTTTTGTTTAAGATTGATTGTACATACTACATATTCAAGCAGAATTGACGGTTTGATCAATAACATGGATTTTTCTTCGATGTGAATTCTGATTGCATGCAAACGCAGATTTAGCCATTAAATTATTGCAAATTATTGCAAACGCAGTTGGAGTCGTTGAATTATTGAGTTCATCATTTCAATAAATTAATCACGAGTCACTATTTATGTTTACCGTCAATGCAATCGAAATTACACTGAGAATATTATAACATGTCAACTGGGAAATATTATAATTTCAATCCCACTACAAATTTACAATTTATCTCTCAAAAAGGAAGAACACATCATGTCTTGGAACCTCTTTATCGGTGGGGACCCAAGCATTCAACTTTGTCTTTTCATGGGTCCTTCTTATTTCCGAAAGTTTAAGTGCTTCAATTTTTACTTGGAGGTGTGGAATCCCTTTTGCCACAATTTAGAACATGTGGTAAAGAACAAATAATCATTCATTGATACCATACAATGAGACATTTTAATGAATTTTGAGTCGTAATGAAGTATTTGTTGTAAAAAAAAGTATTTTTCAGCTTGTTTTCATCATGTAAATGTCACATGAACGCATCATTTTACTATTTTAGTAGACGGTCAGATGGACAAAAATGTTACAAAATGACTAAATTGAAACACATAATGCATTAGAGGTTTATGTAATTAAAAAAAAGGCCAAATCAGATAAATGATCCCTGTGGTCATAAGGTATTCAGAAGATAGCCTCTGTGCTAAAAAAACTCGGATTTAAACCCTTGTGGTGTATTCCGTTAGCAAATTTAGTCCAAAAGTGATTTTTCCGTTAACTATCTATTAATACATGGGTAAAATTGTGCTTTGACATGTGCACTCTTCCTCGTCTCTCTGCTCTCTGTAATTTGAATTTTGCACAAAACCAGTTTTGAGAAAGCTGTCATTGAGATCGGCATGAAGCTTCAAGACTCGCCTCTCGTTGCTTTCTACGAACAACAAGAATTGAAAATTCAAATTACAGAGAGAGCAGAGAGACGAGGAAGAGTGCACATGTCAAAGTACAATTTTACCCATGTATTAACAGATAGTTAACGAAAAAATCACTTTTGGACTAAATTTGCTAATGGAGTACACCACAAGGGTTTAAATTCGAGTTTTTTAAGCACATGGACTATCTTCCGAATACCTTATAACCACAGAGATCATTTATCCGATTTGGCCTAAAAAAAAACTAAGTCACAATAACCAAAATGAAATACGAGTTTACGTTCAAGAATTCATTCAATATCATTTATGGTGTTCTAAACTTTAGAGAGAGAATGAAGACTCATTGTAATTTCGTTCTTAATTGCACGTAAGCCTTCTTCATATGTTTGAGCGCAGATCGTGCATTTATCTAAGATCCTTAATTAAGGACATGGTTGTAACATTATTCTATTACTTTTGTGTATACTATATTTAAGGAGAATCTGAAATTTTCTTTGCTAGATCAGAGTGCTCCTAGAGAAAATATCGGTCGGGTTTGGGAAACACGATCTATAAATCCTCAGCATTTAACATTAAAAAATGAACATAACACATGCTCGTGGGTTTATTAATTATTACGAGGCTTAAATGTCAAAATGGTCATTGTGTTATAGCCATATAGCCGATTTAGTGCTCGTGTTTTCGATTTGGCTAATTTAGTTCTTGTGTTTATCTATGTTAGCCAATTAAAGGCATTTCATTCAATCTCTTTTAAAAAATTCATAAGAAAAATTATATGAGATAGAATTACCTTTTTTCTTTACAGAAAAATGAAAATTAATGAGAAATAACACATATAAGAGATAAACTTTCAATTTGAAAAATGATTAAGGTTGTGACATAGAAAAGAGAGGGGGTAATGTTAGGGAGGAGGTCGGGGAGTTGGGAGGAGAATAATTTTTCTTTTAATTTTGAATTATATTTCATTTTTAAATATTTTAAATCAAATAATAATTATGTAAATTAGTTTATAATTAAAAGTGGTCTAGTCCTCAGTTATTTTGTAATTGCACAATAAGTTGTGTAGAGTTTATAAGTGAGGACTAGCCCGCTTTTAATTTCCCATTCAGCAATCATGAGTGAATATGCGTAGAGTTTATAAGCGAAGGGTTACAATCTAAAAAAAACGATTTCACATGAGAACAATTTTCCTCGAGTAATGGGAAATTAAAAGCGGGCTAGTCCTCAGTTATTCAAATAAGTTGTGTTTTTGTAGTTTTCTCATGTTACAACTATCGTACCAATTTAGACGTCGATCCTGAATGGAATCAAAATAGTGATGAGCTGAGTACTATGACAACAGGGGGGAAGCAAAGCTTTATAGACATTTTATTATATTATGAATTCAAGCTCAAAAGAACATATATATGGAGGCTATGTCAACTTGTGTAAGGGCTGGTTTGGTATTGCTGTGCTTTGAAAAAAAGCTACTTCTGCTGTGCTGTGTGAATAAGCAGCTGTGAAATAAAGTAGCAGAGTGTTTGGTAAACTTTTTTGTAAAAGTGCTTTTGAAAAAAAAAAAGCAGTATTATAGTGTTTGGTAAATTTTATGTAAAACAGATGTGAAAAAAAGCCGATTTTTCAAAGATGGGTTTTGCAGCTTCTTGTTTTTAGCTTTTTTTCACCTAAAACTGTGAAAAAAAGCTGAAGCTGAATGTTTACCAAACACAAAAACAACTCCCAGCTTTTTTCAGAATCACCTCAGTACCAAACCAGGCCTAAGTCTTGTTGACCATAAGGAAGAAGGTTGTAAAGCAGGCCTCATTATCCATACCTCCGGTCGGATAAATGGAGGACCGATCGACCCGGGCTTTCACGAGCGTTGGCGGGTCCTGGAGTGCCTATCAAGGCCATCCACATACATGAAGAGAAGAAGAAAAGGGGGATTACTTGTTTAGTACCAGCGGAGCTTCCAAACTAAACATTCTGACCATAGGGTCGATGTCCCGAAGCATGTTCATCCGTAAGAACCTGATCTGGAGCAATTTATCCCATTCAAGATCAAAGAGCATATTAACCATGTCCTACCGAGGAGTTTGAGCTCTTTTGGCTTACTTTAAGCCATGCTGAGAGCCAAACCACATATCTTCCAAAGTGACGTTCATTTTTTGGTAATTGGTATTTTCGAGAGAAAAGTTTCGAATTCGACCATTCCTTTTCGATGCACAGTGAGTAAAAAGCTTGACTGTCTTTGAGGCAATTCACATTGTGTTCGTATAGGATGCATTTATATTAGGCCTCCAGGAACTAAGGGTAGAACATGGCTTTCTGTTGGAGCAACCGCTCGCCGAGTCGCGGAGAGATCGTATTTCTAAATAGTACCTCATTCCATTCACCACAAGGCTGCGCCCTCAATAGGCGGGTAGCAAATCATCTTGTATAATCAAAACATTATACATTAGGGAAAAAATGGATCCAATTAGCATCAATTATTTATTTGGGAAAGCTCTAAGAAACTTGGGATTTGATTAAAGATGCAGCAAAACTTTGTCGATTTTTTGGGACATTACATACAATGAGTTTATTGTAAGGATGTTCTGATCTAATAATATAATTTTATGTATAATTTTTTTTTCTGCACGACATTATATTATTAGAATGAGACATGATATGATAGTAAACATGCTTCATATAAGCTTTTGTCCCACTTTGTGCGATTATAATCTTCATCAATTATTATTGCCCTTATTTTAAAGGGTTTTTCTAAATCTTTGTCATGAGTAAACACGATTATATATTAATTTAGAAGCTAGATACCTATAGTCTTGTAAAACGATTATGTATCTAAAGTTTTAGAAAGAAGGGAAATGAGAGAGAAGGGAGGTGAGGTTTGGGTCGGGATTAGAATCAAAGGAAGGGCTGGGAGGGTAGAGAGTTTAAAGCCAAGGATCTTATGAAGCAGTGATGGGTGATATATGATCAGTTTGTTCATATTTGATTTGATCCTTGAGACTAGGGTTTTAGAGAAAGAAAAAATGGAAGTAGAAATACTTGTTTACAAGAGATGAGATTTCGTCCCATAGAGGCCCAATAATTGAATTGAAAGAGAGAAGAATTTTTTTCTTTCAGAGAGACAATGAACGGACACAAGGAAATGGCATAACAAAATGGGCAATCTGGCATAAAATGACATTTTTGTTTTGGTCCTTACATGTCATTTCACAAGAGGGTAAATTTGACATTAAATTTATACTAAAATGTGGGTGGAAAAATAAGACAATGAGATGTGTTTATCAGCACTCTTAAAATAAGAGAATAATAATTTTTCTCATTTGATTTTCCATATTTACCCTTTGATTTAGTCTTACGTGCATGTCACGTGACTTATTTTTAATTGACGAAAAAGACTATAGCTGCGAGTTTTGCTGAGTTAAAGGACAAATGGTCATGAATTTTTAATTGAGAGACCATTGCTCCAATTAGATTAAAATAAGAGATTATTACTACAATTTTCTCCATTTTAAAATGGGAAAATTAGAATCCCTTGCACTTTTCTAATACTCTTTAGATCAAACATTGGTTCTAGTTTGAAATTTGATTAGGGCGAGTAAACGATAGGCATGTCAACATTTTTATATTTATTTAGATTACATGTCATTATTGTGTTTTTTTAATTTAAAATGTTAATTATTAAATTCCATATATATCCTTTTAGGATGATATATTTCTGTACGTGGCCTTTTTTGTAGGAAGCCGTATGGTTTACTAGTAGTGTTTCCAGAATTCTTCTCCCATTTTTGAATTCTGTGATCCTCATTTTTGAATTTTGAATGGACTTATCCATTTCAATTAGTGGTTGTTTTCACTATTTTATATTGATATCATGTGAGATAATTAGACGTTTATATTCAGAAGCTTGAAGCTGGTACGTTCAGAAGGTTTTATCAAGATTCTCTACAACGTCTACCTTGCTATCTGTGGTACGTTGTGATAAATAGTTATAGCTCATTTATACTGATTGTGATATATTGTTGTTTAGATATAAACTAGAAAATATGCCCACGCGTTGCTGCGGGACTTGAATGCACCAGCCTAAATTGCATGAATAAGACACATTTAACCTGAATAAATTAAACATAACCATGAATGGACAGAGGAATAGATGAGTGAAAGGGGTCGGTAAGATAAGCAACTTGGTTTTTATATACATTCAACATAGTTGATATGAAAAGACATTGTACAATTAATAGGACAAAATTGAACGTTCTTGATTACAAAAGACGTGGTTGCAAAAAATTCTCTGTTTTCATAAGAAACAGAAGCAACATTCAACCAATTTACATGATAAGAACCGTAAATTGGCATCGCGACAAAAGGGGATCGACTAAACCAGGTTGAATCAGAGAACTACTTCAAAGTTCAGATAGAAGTAAAAAATCAAATGAGCTACAGGCTTAAGTTCATAACCACTGATGAATGACGAGCTATTAACTTAAACATTTATAAATAACCGTCAGTCCCTAGCTATTATGCATGCCACTAATGAAAGGAGGGATCACCATTTGTTAAGGTACCTGGAATTCACCAATACCAGGATATTTCCAACCATGCCGTTCAGGATAAGAAGGATACCATAGCTCTCCACACGGACCTAATCCAACTTCAATTTCTGATATCATTCCTTCCTCAAAAAACTCATCAAATTCAACTCTGAAGCTCCTCATGTAGTCGAAGTAAACCTGCATTGGTTCCATTATAATATAACAGAATAAAAACTCTCAGCATTAAACAGTAAGAATGCGTAGGGTCTGATTCTTAGAGAAATTCTTCCATTTTCATCCGAGTCTCACCGATTAAAACTTTCACCCAAAAAAAACACTCTCTGATCAAACGAAAACTCCAAAACCAATTCTATGGTTGATTCAACAGGTTTATACTATAAAGAAAATAACGATACAATATGGATACCTAGTCTTTTTTTGGTGGAAAAGAATCTTGTTTTATACCAGTTGGAAAACAATGCTTTTGTTTGATACAATCTGGTCTTGGTTAAAATCTAGTATCATTTACAGAAAGGGGGAAAAAAAGTAGTAGCAATATACCCATAATACGCTGCAACATGCTTGCATTTCTCCGCACCAAGTGTGGTTAATCATGTCAGCATCCAGAATCACAACCCTGGGCCTGATAAATAAAGCCAACCAGATACTCGAGATCAAAAAAGGTGAAACTACATGCATAGAGAACTAAAAATAAGATAGAAGTCAGTTCTTTGCAAAACCAACAATTGCATTTACCAAAAAATGAAATAAAAATAAAACCCAACAACCAAAAAAGAGGAGCATGTGCAATAGCAGTCATGTAAGAGTTCAGTTCGAAATTTCAGATTAACCCATTACATCATTTCTATAAAAAATATTCCAATTATGGCATTATCATTGAGCAAAATTAACATGTTGGCAGAAAAACAAATCTTATGAAAACGGTGTGTGGATTTATAGTTAACCAAAGCATTGATTATAAAACTGACATCTAACTGATCAAAAGAATAATCTTTACATTGATAACATACAAATGCAAAGGTGATATCAAGTTTTTCAACTGCTTCCCCCAAAAAAAAAAAAAACATTTATAACTTGTAAGTGGTCTTGCTAACTACACCTTAGGTTAAGTCCCAAACTTACAATATTTGGACGTATGATGGTGAAACTGTAACATTGTTCTTTGCATCCAACATTAATTCCTTGAAATATATGTAGTAAAACTTGGATCATCTACTTTTATCTCAAGGATTACCACAACTGTGTCTTTCAAATTTTATCTTCTCCATTACTTTCCAGCCAAAAGAAGAAAAAAAATAGGAAACTACACACATTTGATAACAGAAACAGAGATCACTTCCAGAACCTGTTGGGATAAAAATGGCATCACACTGCCGGATAAAACACAAATGTTTGTGGCTGCCAATGCAATATGTGGAAATACATATACCAGCCCAAGCATCCTTACAGTATATAAGCAAGTAACTAACATTTTTCTCTGACTTGACCATATGATTTTTCAAAAATGATGCTCCAAAGCACTAATCCGGCACAACTTGCACCCACACCAAACACCAATCCAATACTTTATCTTTGCACAATTGTCTCACGATCACATAATTGTTAATTCATAACACCCACACCAAACACCAATCCAATACTTTATCTTTGCACAATTGTCTCACGATCACATAATTGTTAATTCATAACACCAACCAACCCATGTTACTGGTACAAAATATAATCACCTACACCTAATCATCTTATATTAAGAAGACATCATACAATAACAATGAATGTTTTACACTCTGCAAGTGAAGCAGCTTTCATTTGCCAATTTCTCAAGTGATAATGCAAGCTCCATTGCTGGATAAAAAAATAAGGACTGAGAAGACATCAAATCCAACGCAGACAGCAGATAAAATTGAACCCAAAGGGCAAAAGCCTTCTCTAACAAATAGATACATATAAAGAGTCGTTTGGGATATAGATATGGGTGTACCTGGAAGAATAGAGACGCACTGAGTCGGAGAGAGTAAAGAGAGAGTTGAATTTCGGAGGAATACTGGACGACGACGAACTGCGCAGCCATAGCTGTTGGTGGTTGTGATTCCGCTGCGAGAGACAGTTTGAAAAAAAGTATTCAATAAATCTTACAGAACTATAATAATTCAGTCATGAGCTTCGAATCATTGGCATTTCAATTTTAAGATAGTATTAACTGTTTACAAAATTAGAAGCAGCTGATGGCATAGCATACCGGTTTCAAGCATGCTAAAGTTGGACATAATCTTCGGTACGTAGAGGTATTTTCTTTTCTGAGTCTTTCTTGCAACAGATCACAGCTGGTTTCTACAAATTTGAAACCCGAAGCTGTTAGTATGGATGTCTGTTAAATTTAATCTCATAACAGGAGGACGTATAAGAAAACAAAGTGAAGGCGCATATATAATCCATGTTTCCCTCTTTTTCATCTACTCTATCAGAAAAATGTGAGTGCTAAATGAGTGCATTTAAATCAAAAAGAGTTGACAGAGGCATAATTGGAGAAAGAAAGGTCTTTATATCAATAAAAAAAAAATGCTTCATAGTTGGACATAGAAAATGAAGAAAATGATTGGATGAAACAAAGAAAGGCCCTTAAAATTTTGACAGAGGCATTCTCAGCAAGTTAAAAAAACAGAGGCACTCCCAAATAGAAGATACAATATGCAGTAAAAGGAAAATATTACCTGAGGAGGAAAAATAAAAAGCAAAAAGTAAAAAAATTGTAAACCTCAGTAGCAACATAGAATGCATATGAATGAAGCAATTTTTTTTTTCAAATGAAAACTTGTAAGAAAATAAGAAAACCAAGTGAATAATACTTGAATCAAGAAAGTCCCCAACGCAGCACAGGGGGGACATCTTCACTGATAGCACCAATCCAGAACTTTAAAGCAGCACAGTCCAACAAAAGCAAATCCATATACATCTGAACAATTATCCGCCTCATGTGGTGAACAAACATGCTTTCCAGCTGATACTCGTACATGCTTACCCTAACTTTTCTCATGACCTGGTTAAAAAGATAATAGCAATCATGACTAAGAAAAAGGGAGTCAAGTTTTGAAATATTTCCAAAGATGTTATAAGAATGAGCCGAAAATAAAGATTTCAAAGTGCACAAAGTTCATGCAGATTGAAATTCTCTTACTCTTAAAACAACATCTCTGCTGTAAATAATGGTGAAGCCTGTAGCCCAAAATTAGTAGTAGGATTCTAGGCATCAATCCATCAACTATCGAACGTTACGCGATCTACATAAACCGATAAAGAAAAAATATTGCTCTGAAATAAAAGAACTGATCATTTAAATTATTCATGACAGAACCAATTTTGATTTGAAATATGATGGCCAAGAACAAATCACACTTCTTTTCAATGCTGACCATGAATTTTCAGAAGTTAGAGAAGATTTTTTACCAATTGAAAAGACAATGGTCACATATACCTACAATTAACCACCAATAAGCGTGAAGTTTTGCATGACAATGCAATAGCAGCTATACAGGATGCCATTCTAGTAGTCATTGAGAATGATTCTCTTCATTCATTAGAAACTAAAACCAGAGAATGAAATTAAAATTGAACAAAACTATAACCCAACCTGAGTTTCAAACCAACCTAAGCACAGATTCAAACCATTATGCAAACACATCACAACTTGGTGTTCTCACACGAAACACATGCAAAAGTCAATACATTTGGTTGTTTTTATTAAAGAACCAGGCTCAACTTAAGACATAACGATTGCACATTCCACCATAACAACAGCAAATAAATATACCTCAAAAGCCAAAGGGCGAAGTGCTGTGTCCAACCATCCAAGTTCCTGAAATACGAACTTCGGGATTGAAAGAAAAATGACCTGGTGAATAAATTTAATAAGTTTACGGATTAGTATTCTGAAAGAGGATTGAAATATTAAAAAAGTAATAAAAGGGGTAAAATTCTATACATTGAACTGCATTGTACAATTAAAAGGACGAAACGAAACGTTTTGGTTAGCTAATATATAGAATAAACAAAAGTAACACATAGTTTACAGACATGTTGCCCTTGTAGCGAAGGTGAAAAAATGTATATCTTCTAGGTTAGGTACATGTTTGAGTAGTTGACAAAAAAGATAAAGACTGTTTTGTTCTCATTCTAGCATCTAAGTTCCAAGCACAAACGTGCAAAGCAAAGAACATGCAGGTGTTGAAGCAAAAATGTTCCTAGCTGAAAAGATGTAGAACGGCTTACAGAGATTGCATTGTTCACTTTTTTTTAGAGTGGACATCTTCCGCACTATAGCAAAAAACTGATAACTGCAAGCAACAGAGCAGATAGTATTAAGATCGAAAATGCATTCTGGAAACCATGGGAAAACTGTAAAAGTAAAAAAAAACTGTGATGGTCGAATGGATTAAATTTGTGAAAGTGCAACAAACAAAGGGTAAATGTCATAAAGGTTTAACTGACGACCAATCAATTATACTTGATAATGTTCTGAATTATCAGCCGGATAAAGCTGTTAAAATGTGTTTTGGAATCAGCCCTTTCACAGCATGTTTATCCACATTTTTTTTTAACTGCCTTTTATTTAGAATTGCAAGTTATGGCTATAATTAAATTATCCAGTATTTCTCATCTAAAATTTTCCAAACAAAAAAACACATCAAGGACAATTACGCAACTCCAAAGTACAAATGCTAAGTGTGTTACTTCAACCGAAATAACTTCTAGATACAATGAGATACACATGCTCATTTCAGAAATGGAATCCATATAAAACCATAATCCATAAAAACTGCAATAGTTAAACTGCAAGCTAAATCGATTAAGTAGTCAGAAGGTAAACACACCAGTTTTCAAAAAATTGTCTTATGAAAACTAACTAAAAGTTTATGTAAATTCATTGTAATATTATCTAAGAGGCTACATAGAATGTTAATATTGCATGATACAAAAGCAATGAAAAATCTACATGTTTAGGTAACATAATTATGCTTAAGAAACAGAAAGCATCAGAACAACATCAAAAGTTACAAACTTGCAGAATCCCAAATTACACTTTCCCATCGAGACAATTTCTTAACTAATGTAATTTGTGTGGTTTTCGTAAAAATATTAACTTGGGTAAAATCATATTCCACAAAATTAGAAATTGGGGAGTGAAATTAAACACCAAAACTTCACAGGCAACCAGCAGATCATGGAGCTGATATCCTACGAAAAAGGTTAGGAAAAGCAGATATCATACAGGAAGGAAAAAGCTCAAAAAAGGCAACTGAAACACAACTATTTAGACAACATACATCAATTTTCACGAAGCATTTAGGACAAATTTCAAAAGATACACCAATTGACAGAAACCAGTCATAAACACCATCAGGAAGCAATTTGTATAAACTTTACATTCCTCACTCAAACAATGAAAGATAATAAAAAAAGAACAATACCTTTTATTCCATTACAATTTGAGCATCCAATCCGAAACCAATTGGTGATGGGTGGAGATGCCCGAGATCATTCAAACTATTTACGTAAGGCTTGAATTCCCAATATGGGATTCAACATCTCAAAACAAATGACTTTAAGATCACCCTTTTACCTTTAGAATCAAAAGGATGCAGCAAGGGCAGGCAAACAAATCCCTCGAAATGGGCCCTAAAAATGACTTTTACATTCTTTCTCACTTACCCTTGTCCCATCTCTCTCTCTCTCTCTCTCTCTCTCTCTCTCTCTCTCTCTCTCTCTCTCTCGCACAAATGAAACCCCAAATATAATCCCTGAAATCTCACCCAAACGTAATCCCTGAAATCCCCTCTCTAGGACATGCCCCACCTCTCCGTGTCAGAACCCTAAACCAAATCCGTAAAATCCTACTCTCTCTCGTTGCAAATCGCACAAATCAAACCCCAAATCTAATCTGTCAAATCCTCTTGCGATACACCAAACCTCTCTCTGTTAGAACCCTAAACCAAACCACTTGCAGGCATAAAATTATGCAAAACATAACAGAAAATAGGTAACTTCAAAAACATGGTGGACAACCATAAAACTCACAAAAACATAGTGGAAAACCATAAAACTCACTCTGTGAAACAAAACTTTTGGTGGCTGTTATTTAACATTAGTCATGTCTATAGATATGCATGCACGTACACAAACAGATGCATATATACACATGCACGCATGCATGCATACCTATATAGGCATGTACACACACACATAGATGCATACATACATACATATACATGTACATACAAACAGAGATGCATGCATACATATGTACATACACATTTATATATGCACACATATACATATAGCTATACAGATGCCTATATATATATTTAGATATATACTTAGGTATATATTGATACATATACTTGCACATACATTTGTACATAGACATACAACAAATTTTGATAACCACAATCAAAGCAACAAAAAAACCAAAAGCAAAAATTCAATGCTTTAAGTAGAAAAAGTTAAGTTTGGTTGTTAAACCCATTCCTAAAGATGAAGTCAAGTATTCATAATCAATCATTGTTGTATCAACAAAAAATTAAAGGAAAAAAATTCTAATGACTAAAACAAATGATTGTGAAAGGGTTAGGATATACCTGCTGCTAGGAAATCCAGATTCCGGTGGATGAGACTCTGTTTCTGAAAAAAGTGCGTATACTTGAGCTGCAAGGATACATCACATAGTAAAGAAATTGGAAGGAAAAAGAGTTTGTATTGAAACACAGTAAAGAAATTTGCATCAGAAATTACTTTGTATAAACAAAATTTAAAATGGATAGATAGATACCTCACTAATGGTCTGTCTTGTGGCTGCTGTGTGAATGGATGGTTTGATCTGTATGGTTGTGTTGGATTTACATGCATATCAAGAATGAAATCAAAAGTTAATTTCAGAAATATATAAGAAACCAAGAAATGAAAAAACAACCTAGCAACATATGGATTCGAAAGATGTGAAGTGGAAAATGAACCTGAAGATGATTTGTTAAGAAGAAAACAGTAGGAAAGTATGAAGAAACACAAAAAAATGAAAACAGTGCAACCCCTTTGTTTATAAAGACAGAAATATCAGCTAAACAGTGAACTAAACAGTGAGCTAAACAGCCTACACACCCTAATTTAAATGCAATAAACTTAAAAAGGAGTCTTAATTTTGTTTACTCATAAGCAAAGGAAAATAAAATTATGAAAAACAGAAATATCAGAATTTTCAACACTGTGTAGTCCCCTTATTTGCAAAGACTAAGAGGAAAGTCTAATAGGTAAGCAAACAATTGTAAAATATCTAAGACAGCTTTAATGAAGGAAAAATTAGCCATGCCAATTTTAATAAAGGGAATGGTAAATCAAACAGTGAACAGCAAAATTCAAACAATAAACTTTGTAAATTAAGGTGCTTTTTTACTTAAATTCTTTTTGTTTTGGCGTCAACCTTTCATTTTGCTGTAAATTCAAGTGTTTTCTCTCTGTGTTGATCCAGCTGCTTATACTTGTCAAATGTTGGTTCTTCTTATGCAAATATTGATATATTTAACAGGTAACAACTACCTATATGCAATGGAGCACCAGAAATTAATGTACAGTATGGTTATTAGGACAATGGATTAAATTCTAGGATAAGTTTGGACATGCAGCTAACCTAGAGGTGAACTAAACAACCTACAAATGACTAAGAGGAAACCCTGATAGTTAACTAAACAATATAAAATATCTATGAGAGCATTAATGATAGGAAAAAATATCTATGACAATTTTAATAAATGCAATGGCAAAGCAAATAGTGAACAACAATTTAAAACAATAAGTTGAAATAGAGTTAACCCTAAGATGACCTAAAAATCTACAACGATCTATTGATAATTTTAATGAAAGAACACAAAATTTGTAATAATTGCTAAACAGAAAAATGATGAATCATACAAAAATTTATCAAGAAACAAATAAATTAAATCAATGCAAGGCCCTAATTTACAAAAATTGAGACTTAATCCTAGCACCCAACTGAACAAATTATTAACATGCATTGCAATTTGAATGAAAGAACCAAATATGAATGGCAATTCTAACAAAGCAAATGGCAAATTAGACACTAAACAATTAAGGAAATACAGTGCATTACCTTTTGAATCAAGGGAGAAAGCTGAAAACCCACACCCTGCCATTCCTCCCTCACCCATCCCCTCCGAGAAAACTGAAAACCCACACCCTGCCATTCCTCCCTCACCCATCCCCTCCTCACCGACTCTGTGCGTGACCTCTTAACCCTAACCAATGCATACACGCATGCTTTCCATTCTGTATCTCTCTCTGATAATTCCTCTCTCTAAAATCGCAGAAAATCCCATAGATCCTGGCACTAAACCCGTAGCTCCCATCTCTCTCCAATCTGTCAGCCTCTCTGTTTCCATCATCTCCACTCGCTCTGTCCCCTTCCTCTCCTTTCGGCACAGCCACACCCAGTTGTGTCTCAGTGAAAATTCAGAGGCATCATCTTCTCTCTCCAATTTGTCAGCCGTTCTGTCTCCCTCCGCTCTCTCTCCTCAAGTCAAAGGTTGAAATGCAGAGGGTGGAAATCAGAAAAAGTTGTTCAAAAGCATTTAAGTGGCAGTCTTGTAAATAAACTGAAATGTGGTCCAAAACACTGTTCATATGAATAGTGCGATTTCCCCTCCTACTTTAGACTAAAGTAATGTGCTTAATGGGGTTTCAGATAATTATCATAAAGTTAATGCCTTTTTGTAGTTTTGTCGATTTTAGTCTCGGTTCGAAAAGGGATTTGGATTGATTATTTTGTTGTGGGTTTGCTGCTTAATGCTCATTTATGTTGATAAGTTATAACACCAATGCACACTGAAGAAGTTGTGCTGAGTTTTTAAAGATTTGAAAGTTGCCCAACAAATGTTCGATGAAATGACTCAATAAGCATTGGTGCTGCGTGCATTTTGCTTGGGCGTGCAAGGCGTATGAAAGTCATGTTTTACACCAATTTTTAACAACATAAACGAGAGAAAAATTAAGCAACTAATACCAATGGAGAGGACACTTCATTTTTCAAATTATGCTACCAGGTTAGCTCAAGGTTCAATGGTTTGGTAGTTGGTTCATTTAACCTTACATATGCTATGAATGGATACGCATGTTGTCTTTTGGAATGCGACATGGATGTGAGTGTATTGCACATGTCTGTGACGAAGGAGAACACATATTTTGTTGATATATTGGTGAGCTTAAAAGAATCAAATGAAATTGGCAATGCTAGTCAAGATATTCATATTACAGAACCACTTTTGGTTGAAGGTGTAATGTACACCGATGGGAATGAGTTTTTGGGGAAATTTAAAACACCTAATGCTAAGATGTATTTATCGCATCCTTGGAAAAGCTATATTAGTCATGTTGGTCAGGATTATGAGGGTGGAGCGGATGAGTTCAGGCTTAAACTATGCAAGCATGCTGTTAAGATGGGTTTTGAATTTGAGTATGTCGCAAATGAGTAAAAAGGATAACAGCTTCTTGCATTAAGAAAGATATTAAAGGTTGTCCGTGGCGTGTTCATGCATTTATATGCAGTGCTAATGGTCATTTTATTATCCGAACATTAAATAATCAGCACACATACATCGGTCGCATTCGAGAACGTATAAGTGGGATGATGACCTCAAAGATTGTGTGTTCCATACTGGTTGAGCAAATTCGGTCCAATCCACACATTAAACCAATTCAGATAGTTGATGATTTTCAAAAAGAATTATGTTTTGGATGTTTCCTATTACAATGCATGGAACGGAAAAGAGATGGCGATGACAATGGTTCATGGTGATGACGTTTTATCTCACCAAAAGTTAGGTTGGTATGTTAAAGAGATCTGCATTGAATAACGTTTTTCTAGACAAATATGAGTCGATGTAACATTAAGTAACGTACCAAACGATCAATATTTTGTTTATATTATATCATGAATCAAACGATCAATATGAGTCAGTGTAACATTAAGTAACGTATCAAACTCCTGGTACATTACAAACACACACTATATAATGTTTTTCCAGACAAATACATTTCAAAAATAAAAAACTTTACGTACCAAACACCTGAAAATATTATATCATGAATCAAACGATCAATATGAGTCAGTGTAACATTAAGTAACGTACCAAACTCCTGGTACATTACAAACAAACTGTATAACGTTTTTCCAGACAAATACGCTTCAAAAAAAAAAAAAAAAACTTTACATACCAAACGCATGGAATGATCTAATTTAATAGTATTTCATGAACCAAACAATTAATATGGGTCATTGTAACATTAAGTAACATACCAAACTCCTGGTACATTACAAACACACACTGTATAACATTTTTCCAGACAGATACGCTTCAAAAATAAAAAAAAATTTACGTACCAAATGCCTGGAATGATCTAATTTAATATTACATCATGAACCAAACGATCAATATGAGTCAGTGTAACATTAAGTAACGTACCAAACTCTTGGTACATTACAAACACATTGTATAATGTTTTTCCATACAGATACGCCTCAAAAAAAAAAAAAAAAAAAAACTTTACATACCAAACGCATGGAATGATCTAATTTAATAGTATTTCATGAACCAAACAATCAATATGGGTCATTGTAACATTAAGTAACATACCAAACTCCTGGTATGTTACAAACATACACTGTATAACATTTTTCCAGACAGATACGTTTCAAAAATAAAAAAACTTTACGTACCAAATGCCTAGAATGATCTAATTTAATATTATTTTATGAACCAAACAATCAATATGAGTCAGTGTAAAATTAAGTAACGTACCAAACTCCTGGTACATCACAAAGACACATTTATAGCATTTTTTCAAACAGATGCTTTTCAAAAATAAAAATTTTATGTACCAAACTATCAATACATGTCAGCAAAACATTAAATGACGTACCAAACTCTTGTTACATTACAAAGTTGCGTCCAATAATGTACCAAACTAAAAATGTTAACTGGTAAATTTGAGCCAACGCACAAACATAAATAATATGGAACAAAGTCAACTTATATTCTCAGCAGAGCCAAAATAGCATTTTGGCGTGGGAAAATAAAATTATTAATATCCTTAAATTCAAATCCTTATGATATTCAACAATCAATATTCTTCTCAAATTAAAATTCACTAGAAAAATAACATTATTAATATCCTTAAATTCAAATCCTTCTAATATTCAACAATCAGTATTCTTCTCGGATTAAAACTCTGAGACATTAGTTAGCAAGAGTCTAGGAACCTTTCGTGCATTTTGGTGTGAAGAAAATGGATACGGGAAACATATATGTTAAAGGCCTTGGCAAAATATGTAATTTAGGTACATTACAATGGGTTAATTAAAATACACATGGTATCAAAATTGTAGGAAAATATTTAATCAAATTGTTAAAATGAACATATATTTAATTTAAGAAGTCTAAAAATGAGAGATCTATATCAAAACGTCCTTTTTAAAATTCTAACTCATAAAGTCACATCAACCAATTAATAAAAAAGCAGCAGTTGTTCCGTCCACTGAAAAGAACTGTTACACCCACCACAAGTGACATGGACAGATTTTGTTTATATTATATCATGAACCAAATGATTAATATTTTGTTTATATTATATCATGAACCAAACGATCAATATGAGTGGGTGTAACATTAAGTAACGTACCAAACTCCTGGTACATTACAAACACACATTATATAATGTTTTTCCAGACAAATACATTTCAAAAATAAAAAACTTTAGGTACCAAACACCTGAAATGATCTAATTTAATATTATATCATGAACCAAACGATCAATATGAGTCAGTGTAACATTAAGTAACGTACCAAACTCCTGGTACATTACAAAAACACTGTATAACGTTTTTCCAGACATATATGCTTCAAAAAAAAAAAAAACTTTACATACCAAACGCATGGAATGATCTAATTTAATAGTATTTCATGAACCAAACAATCAATATGGGTCATTGTAACATTAAGTAACATACCAAACTCCTGGTACATTACAAACACACATTGTATAACATTTTTCCAGACAGATACGTTTAAAAAATAAAAAAACTTTACGTACCAAACGCCTGGAATGTTCTAATTTGATATTATTTTATGAACCAAACAATCAATATGAGTCAGTGTAAAATTAAGTAACGTACCAAACTCCTGGTACATCACAAAGACACATTTATAACATTTTTTTTCAAACATATGCTTTTCAAAAATAAAAATTTTATGTACCAAATTATCAATATATGTCAACATAACATTAAATGACGTACCAAACTCTTGTTACATTACAAAGTTGTAGTCCAATAATGTACCAAACTAAAAATGTTAACCGGTACATTTGAACCAACACACAAACATAAATAATATGGCACAAAGTCAACGTATATTCTCAACAGAGCCAAAATTGCATTTTGGTGTGGGAAAATAAAATTATTAATATCCTTAAATTCAAATCCTTCTGATATTCAACAATCAGTATTCTTCTCCAATTAAAATTCACTAAAAAAATAACATTATTAATATCCTTAAGTTCAAATCCTTATTGTAACAACCCGTTCCGGAATTTACGGAAGAAAATGGGTATTTTTATATTTTCACTAAGTTTGGGAATACCTTCCTTTTTAAAATTGTTTTTGATCCTTAATTGGTGAGCCCAAGGGGCCCACCCCCTGTCTTGTTTCCGGTTCCCTTTCCCTTTTCCTTTCTTTTGTTTTTTTCTGAAAAGTCTCTCTTCTCTCTTCTCTCTTTCTTCCTCTGATTTCTCCATCCTTCCCCCTCTCGGTGCTATTTCTCCGAGCATAACACACCCACACACACACACACACACACCCATGCTCACGCCTATAACTCTTTTCTAACCCCGTGGTTGTGTTTTGGACGTCAAACCACGAAGAAACCACCTCGGGAGACATTTCTCAGTTTTCCGGCGAGCACCGCCCCTTTCGAGGCGATTTCCGGCCAAACCACGGCGAGTTGGCCGGCGTGCGAGGTATCAATCTCTTCGTCTCGCTGAGTACTACAACTTTCCTTTTTGTTTCACCTAATTTCATTGAGTATTGAATAAGTTATACTCATTTGAATCTTACCCAGTTTCCGGCGACCTCAGTGACTTTCGAGGTGTTTTCCAGCCAAACCACGGAGAGTTAGATGTCGTGTGAGGTACCATTCTCTTCGTCTCTTTGAGAACTACGATTTTCATTTTTGAATCACTTGATTTCGTCGAGTATTAACAAAGTTATGGACGTTCAAAGTTTGTCTAAATTCCGGCCGAATTCCGGCCTTCTTCTCCGGCGTGAAACCCAGCCCAAGAAAACACCCAGGCCTTCAGGCCGTTTCCTTTCCCCACGGGCCTCAGGCCTGTTTTGGTATTTGGCCCAAAACCCTAACCCTTTCTGTTTTTATTTTTATTTTTGTTTACTTTAAAACCCCAAAGGCCTTAGGGCCGTGTGAACCAAGCCCAAAACCCTTTTTAATTGGGCCATTGGGCCGTGAGGTTAAAGCCCAAACCCAACCCACCTAAAACCTAAACCCAATTACCCTAACCCAAAACCCTAAAGCCCAAACCCGTGACCCTGACCCGTTGACCCGGACTTTGACCCGTAGACTCTGACCCGGACTCGTTGACTTTGACCTCGGGTTGACTTTTTGTGTTTTCGTGCGGGACCCCTCCTAGGCTAATTTCGACGTCCTGAACCCGTTTCCGATGTCCGTTTTCCCAAATTTAATCGTTTGAGTAGAGTTTGACTAAATGTACCGTTTAGGTGCTTAGGGGCAATTATTGATGGCGTTTCCTTCTTCGCTAGATGACGTGGCTTTCGACGGCGAGGTACTGTGAGTGGACCCCTTCTAAAAATGCATGTTTTAATGGTAGAATTGCATACACAGAAAAGCATGACTTTACGATTATGTTTTATGAAACGTTTTGAGATAATATGCTTACTGAGGCTAGTTTGAATTATTACTATTTTTCCTATAACCCATGTTCTTGTAGAATATCTGATGGATGACAATATGATATTTAGAACATGTTTAGAACACCTCTTTATAGTATAGATGATGGATGACTTTATACTATGAAGTTGATTTTCAATATATGTATGTTCACTGGTTTTGTACTTACCTAGTGGTCCTTTCCGCTACGGGACGTAGGGATAGATCCGGTCCGTCCCGGGCGACGGTTTGGTGTTGGCATAGGGCCTGGAGTGTGTTTTCCTCTGACTGTCTGCTCAGAGACGGGGAGCCGGCACGGGGCCTGAAGTGTATTTTCCTCTGACTGTGTGCTCAGAGACGGGGAGCCGGCATGGGGCCTGAAGAGTTATATCAGACATTCACTAGTGTTTATTATTTATGCAAATTATGATTTGAGACATTGCACGACATGCTAGGTTTCGGAAAACCTATGTTTATCATTATATATAAGTGTTTTCATAAAACCTGGGGGTTAGTATGTTGATAACTGTTTTATTATATATATATATATATATCAACTTGGTCCACTCATGTTTGTTTTGCGCCCCCTTCAGGACTTAGAATCGAGGCATACAATCCCGACGTCCAGGCACTTCCGCATCGGCATCTTCGAGTCTTCTTGGTGTAGGACCCACTCCTTGGTTTCTTTCAATTTTATATTATTTTTCTTTTAGTGTTCTAGATTAGTGGTGTGCTCTGAACACGGTCCTTATTTGCATATTGTTTATTCTTTTATATTTATAAACCTTATTTATCCCTTGTTTTCAGCATTTGTACTCAATAAATGGCTTTCGTCACCCTCAGGTGTCGGCCAGCACGTGCCTATCCTGGTATTCGGGGAATATCGGGGTCGGGGCGTGTCACTTATGATATTCAACAATCAATATTCTTCTCGGATTAAAACTCTAAGACATTAGTTAGCAAGAGTCTAGGAACCTTGATTGCATTTTGGTGTGAAGAAAATGGATACGGAAAACATATATGTTAATGGCCTTGGCAAAATATGTAATTTAGGTACATTACAATGGGTTAATTAAAATACATATGGTATCAAAATTGTAGAAAAATATTTAATCAAATTGTTAAAATGAACAAATGTTTAATTTAAGTAGTCTAAAAATGAAAGATCTATATCAAAACGCCCATTTTAAAATTATAACTCATAAAGTCGCATCAACCAATTAATAAAGAAGCAGCAGTTATTCCGTCCATTGAAAAGAACTGTTACACCCACCACAAGAAATAGCCAACGTTTTATTTGCTTTGTAATTTAATTTTAGAATGTCATAAAACAAAATGGTAACTGAATGTTATCAAATGCTTGCGATTATGAGTAATCGTGACATGGACAGAATTATTCACGTCAAAGCAGAAGTAATTGTGTTATTCTTATGGAATGAGAATCCTCAAATTATGTCTGTTCATCGTATATCGTGCGATCAGTTTTCATCAAGTACTATTCATATTTAATTTTAAATAATAATATTTAAAATAATTTATGACCGCATGATGTACAGTGAACGGACATGATTTGAAAATCCAGAGAAGATCCTCATTCATTCTTATGAAAGCTCTGATTTGTATCCTAAATATTATTTACAAGAAATGTATTCTACCTTCCAACTATAACCTCTCGTTGGCTTCTTTAAAATATTTATAAACTATATATTAAAGTTCTCAATAATATTACAAAGGAATGAGGGACCAAGAAATAATTAGAAGCTTAATTCCTGCAAAAAATATTACACTTTAATAACAGCTTTCCTGCAAAAAATAAAACGAATACATCTAATAACTTGGTTTCATCACAAAAATAAAAAGCCCAATGGGACATTCTGGCCCAAATCCTCAAGCCCAACAGACTTCAAGTCTTCAAAAACTGAGCTAAGAGCAACTAATTAACTTTGTGAAATTTCAAGTACAATGCAACTAAGGAATATCACACACACTGATCATTTTCAAGTAAAAAATTTCGAAACAGAAACTGTACAATTTGCTCTTACAATTCATAGTTTTATTCCGAGAGCACTGTCTATTCTTCACCCACAAGAAATTACACCGGAGCTGCTAAACAATGTAAAACCACTGCAAAAACAAATGCCAACATATCTGCAGGACAGAAGACTGAGCAGCACTGAGTATGTCAAAAAGTGACGGATGATCAGTCGATCATCTTGTATTCCTTCCGGTCTTTCATTATCCTCAGCCCGACATATCTGCCAAAATTGGATCAAACAAAGTAGTCAGTTTTCAAGAACATTTCATTGTGCACAACTACAAATGCAATGGCTTTGTTAGCAGTGCTTTGAGGATAAACTTACCTCCCAAGCATCATAAGGGTAGCCTGAGGATTTGTCCCAGGTGATATACCGAATGTTGATCCATCGACAACTCTGAGTGCTTCAGTACCAATGACCCGGAAATCACCATCAACCACCTTTCCTATCATGCATCCCCCATGGTAGTGCCATATGGTGCTAACAGTGCGCCGGCAGAAATCTGCCATCAGCTCAAAGTTTGATTGGTCTACAGGCAATGCAGGTCCCACAAACCTAAAGTCTTTGTTCCCAAACCAGCCCTGGAACTTGAAATCCTCCATAGACCTGGTCTTGAGTATATCACCAATCTTGCGCGTCCCATTCACACACCTATGCACATCCACCGGGTTGCTGAAGTAGTTGAATCGAACAATTGGGTTCACGTTGACATCTGTTGAAGCCAACCTCAGAGAACCAGCTGAGGTTGGCCCTATGGTTTTCTCCATGAGGGTTGCCACAGTGAGGTAGAGAGGCGCAGATGGCGTCCGAATGAACACGGACCTTGCAGGAGATGCAAAAGGGATAACATTGGAGGCTGCTTCAATGTAGGCTCCTGATTCAGTAATTCCCACAACCTGTATCAGTGAGTGCTCCATTGGGATTGGTGGCACAATTGAGATACCATTTCTCGGATTATCGTAGAGATACTGCCCAACATAAGAAAGATGATGAGCCACTGGGATCCCCCATGAAGAAAGATACGGCCTCGGGCCAATACCACTCAGAAGAAGCAGCTGCGGACTTCCAATGGCACCAGCTGAGACAATTACCTCACCATGTTCACGTAACACAGCATGGTGATACCTCCCGATGCTGTCACGAAAAACAACCCCCACTGCAGACTGCCTAGACGCTGGAGATGGCCTAGTTGAAGCCAACAGAATCCTCTCCACACTGGCATGAGTCACAACTTTGATGTTCAGTGGTTTTGCATAATTGAGAAGATCTGCAGCACTGTGTCTCCTTCCCAAAGTGTCAAATGTTGAACCACCAATCTTGGTCCCCACCACATGATCCAAATTGAATCCATTGTAGGGATCAACGCCAGCTTCCAATAACCCGTCTCGAACTGCTGATTGCCAAGTCCTCAGCTCTGGCCGAAACACAATTGCCCTTTCAACCCACTCGTATGACTCATTCACCATTCGGAGATCCCAATCGACACTGGTTTTCGTGTAAAAGTCTTGATCTGCACGGCTGTAGAAACCAGCATTTATGGCACTGCTGCCTCCAAGAATGCGGCCTCGGACATTTGCAACTCCTTCTTCAGATGTGAAGGCTTGAGTAGGCGAGTCAAAGGAGTTGACATCCATGAGTGCGGCCAAGAAACCTTCTTTGGTCATCAAGTTTCGATTTCCATAAGCAACCCCACCCCGTTCGAGCAAGAGCACTCGAAATCTAGATGATAATGTCGCAGCCAAGGGGCACCCAGCAGTGCCACCTCCTACAATAATGTAGTCATAATAATCTTCTGTTGGAAAATCGGTGGCGTTGACAACAAATTTGAGGTAACTTGGCTCTGCAAAAAGAACACAGAAGAATCAGACAATGTCAGGTTCATAGAGGCATCAAAGCAAACGTATACGGTACAGAAATCGCCCTCTGTTTGGTTACCCAGAAAACTCATAGCAAAAACACGAAATTTCAGTAACTTGGCTTTGTAAAACAACAGAGAAGAAATTGTCCTCTGTTTGGTAACCCAGAAAACTCACATAAAAAATAAAAAAAAAATTCCAAGAAATGAAAGCATGCGACATGGAAATCAAACTTATAGCTGTCGACAAAAAAACAGAGGAGAAATTAACCCTTTTTGATTGCCCAGAAAAAATAAAGCAAAAATACGAAATAAAATTAACTTTCTTGAATGAGGTCACTGGATTAGAAACATCAAAAACCCATAAAAACCCATAAAACTTTCTCGCATTTTTATTCAGATACTAAACAGAACCAAATTGAGAACGGGTTTCAGAAACATCAAAAACCCATTAAACCCAGAGAGAAAGAAAAGAAAATCCATATGTGGGCCTAAATCTTTAACCCCAAGAAAGGCTCAGAGTTTCGTTAGATTCACTAAATCAGAATAGAGAAGCTCAATCCACTGTTTGGTTTCCAAGAAAAAACAGAAGAAAAATGAAAACTTTGCAGCATTTCAACCACGATTGCATTCCCCATCCCAATTTCTTGCATGCATTCAGAAATTTACGCCAAAAAAAATGAAGGAATTCGTACGAATCGAAAGAAAAAAAGAGAGAGAATTTCAGTTACCCTGATGAGAGCGGTGCGAGCTGCGCGTCCGGGCGTCGGCGACAATGGCGTTGAGAAACACGAAGAAGAACGCCAAGTGTCGAAGGTAGAACGAAATGGGCCTCGGCATTGTTTGGATTTTCCCAGCGTTTCTTGGAGGAGAGAGAATTTTCCCGGTGTTTCTTGGAGGAGAGAGAGAGGGAGGAAAGGAGCTAGAGAGAGAAGGACTGTTTCTCTGCAGAAGTAGTAGAGAGGAAGAGAGTGCCTTTCTGGTTAAACATTCAGACGGATGATCGTTATTTAGCGGCAAAGAGCGTTAATCCCCTGCGCCCGTGAGCAAGAGACCATGTGAATAACCGGATCACCAGCCGTTCATTATGCGGATCCCACTTCTCAAGAAATCGACGGGTAAAAGTAAATTCGTATCAAGGGTGGGGTCGACGGAATAACTGCCTAATTGGATATCTGCCGTTAAATACGAAAATGCTGTCGTAGTTGCAATTCAACAGATTCTGAGAACCGAAACGACGGCGTATAAAAGCAAAAACAAGTCATCGCACTTTCACTCATTGGCCGATAGACTCGTCAGATAAGAGGCCTCTCAGAGCGAGCTAAACATCCAGCGCAAGAATTTCAGGTAATCTTATTATTTTTATTTGGTTAATAAATTCATGCAATTTCTAAGTTTTGAAGTTTAGCTGATCAATTGCACCTGCAAAAGATTTGAACTTTGGATAACAAATTTAGGGTTTATATGTTTTAAGGGAAAATTTATGAACTTTGAGTAAATTTTGATTTGTTATGTTAATTAGCTGTGTGAAATAAACAATCCAAGGGCGGGAAATAAACAAGGGTATGCGAAAATCACTTCCCTAATTGAAAAATGATGAAGCTTTATCCTTCGTATGATTTCGGTTTCATTTAAGGTGTGAATTCTGATGTGTGTTATTGTGAAGAGAAGATTGAGTGGTTGTTTTTGTTACTATTTTCTGGTTTTCAGTCCAGATGGATCTTAATGATCTCAATAAGGTGTGGGAAATCAAACCACTAAAGAAAATTGGGGAAGAGGATGCAAGGGAAATACTTGAGAAGGTAGCGAAACAAGTGCAGCCGATAATGCGCAAACGTCAATGGAAAGTCAAAGTGCTTTCGGAATTCTGGTAGTGTATGTTTGTTCTTCTCTTACCATGATTTTTATGTGTGTTGTGATGTATATTTACCGCTGTCGGTCTGCAACTTTGAAATGCAGTCCTGCCAATCCTGCTCTTCAGGGGCTCAATGTAGGAGGAGGTGTTGAAATTAAGCTCAGACTGCGGAGGCCGAACAGTGATTGGGTTTTCTACCCGTATGAACAGATCCTTGATACAATGCTGCATGAGCTCTGCCACAACGAACATGGTCCTCACAATGCTGACTTTTACAGACTTTTGGATGAGATCAGAAGGGTAATTATCTTAATCCCCCTTTCATGGTGTTTTTCATTGTTTTCTTGTTTTCTTCTAATGTTTTGCTTATGAAAACTAATGGCCCTTGTAAGAGTATCTTCCTTTGAGAACCTTCTGTCGTGTGCAGTACTACTTCTATGCCGTTAGATTGTTAAGAACTGCCTTGAATATGGTTTATATATAAATGCAAAGCTTACATCTGACTGAAAGTAGCTTCCTATTTTATTTGAAAGCCGTCCTAGCTGATAGAATTCTTTAATTTTCGATGTAAGATACAGATATAGAATTGTCTTATTCAGTTTTCACTTGTATAAGAAAGGTCATCTTAATCTTAAGGATTAGATGCGGTGTTAAGAAATTCTTAGTCACTATTGTGACTACCTATGAGCACATTTCTGTCTAGAATTCTTTCCTAAATTACTGCAACTCAAAAACAACCACTTTTCGGAATGTCCTATGAAGCCTTGTTGAATGGTCATACTACTTATGCATGTATACAATCACGGGACCTACATACCTGCAGTGCATTTGTATATCAATGCGCGTGCTTCTTGTATAATATAAGGGAAGTCTGGTATATCTTCACTTGAATAGGAATATGCATTTTCATATACTTGACGGTATCTGACTACATTGTCTTGGACAATTGTGGGTCTGGAATCGTTTATAGAACTCTGTTTCATCACAGTCCATATTTCTGAAATATCATGCATAACCTGTTCCTAGATGGCCTTAATTATTTAAGCTTTAAAAAGCACAAGAAGCTATTAAATAATATGATCCAATATTGTTTCCCCTTCTAATTTCATTTGTGTTTCATTCTTTAGTTTATTAATTATCATCGTCCTTACCCTCTGTTCTGATCATATGGGGTGACCCACATGAATTCTTGTCTTCCGTCATTTTAAAAAACGTCCAGGTATCTCCTTATAAATATAATATTTAGGTTTAATTATAAGCTCTAAAAGGCTTATGCAAAGCGTTTCAAGATTTTGCGTGATGATTTGTTGCAGATTTATCCCTGGACAAAAAGTTCCCATCAAGTCCTAATACTTTTAAAGGTTTATTTGTTATTGTCTACCTTGTAATTTCTGTTGTTGCTCTGAATTGAAACTTTTTGTAACATGTTGTTCCATAACGTATTGTCTACCTTGTAATTTCTATACTTTATGGACGGTGGTCTATCACTAATTTGGTCCCTGGTTTTCTGCAGGAATGTGAGGAACTGATAGCTAAGGGGATTACGGGCACCGGGCAAGGATTTGATCTTCCTGGAAGACGTTTGGGTGGTTTCTCCCGTCAAGCCCCTCTGTCATCTATTCGCCAGACTGCCTTGGCTGCTGCTGAAACCAGAGCACGCCGTGGAGCGTTGTTACCATCAGGGCCTAAGCGTTTAGGTGGCGATAGTAACATTAAGGCAGCTTTGAGCCCAGTACAAGCTGCTGCTATGGCTGCAGAAAGGAGACTGCATGATGATTTATGGTGTGGGTCCAAGTCTTTGGAGGGTGACATTGAAGTACAGGGGAACGTTGGAACTTCTCAAAGGCCAGAACCGTTCACATTTACTGATGGTGTCTCTACCCAGACTAATATTAAACTGAAGCCAGGTCAGGAAGAAATGGACGATCAAGCAAAGTGGAAATGCAGTATGTGCACTTTATTAAATAAGGTAATGTTATTCTATGCATAGTTTTGTCAGAAATTTGAATACAAAATACCTTCTCTGTGTGTGTGTGTGTGCGCGCGCGCGCGAGTGCATGCTGTAGAGTATACGTGATCATCAACGTGCATTCTAATGCTTTGAAGTTGTTTCAGCCATTGACATTGAGGTGTACAGCCTGCGGGACGCTAAAAGAGGACCTGAAGTATAAGGTTTGGTCTTGCAAATTTTGTACCCTAGACAACAAAGTCGAGCTAGATAGATGCTTAGCTTGCAGAGAATGGAGATACTCGTCCGGTCCTCCTGTCCCTACCCGTGGACCTTACGTTGGTACATGAGAAAGAGTGGATTCTGATCAGCTGGGGACTCTTGATGAGTTATACTGAATGATCTTATGTACACACTTTAACAACTGCACATGACATGAATATGTTTATTATAGTGATCTAATTTGATATGTACAGATTGTGTTTGAGTTATATAATATTAATCCTTTAAGGAGTGTTTGTGAATGTGTTGGGCGGAAAAATGGTTGGTTATTCCGCCGGAAAATTGTTTCTCAGTTCGGTGGCCCTGGAATGATAGTTGGTTATGCCGTTTATAACAGTAGTATCTTGTTTTCAGTAAGCGTCGGGAAAGGATTTACATTCCTTGCTTTTCACGTAACTGATCAGAAATGGCATTCCGTGCTGTACCTGATTATCGCAGGGGACTTTATCCTTGCCGCGGGCGGGCTGTGGTCGAAGGCGGTCTTAGCTATTGTCCATCTGGGTTGTGAAGAGACGGTTATCGAATTTTCCTTCGACTGCAGTCTGCAGTAACTATACTATATGCTCGCCGGAGATGTTAGAGGAGCATGGACGTGGTTCTGAGTATTTAGTTCATTTGGGGAACTAGGAATTTTATCTGGCCCGGAGTTCCGATGTGATTGTACGCCAATCTCTGTCGATCAAGACGTTCAAAATTTTATCTTCCCTTCCCTTCCCTGTTCATCTATGAGCTCGTACCAAAATTCTCGAGGCCACACACCCACCACCGCCACCGCGGCCACCACCGCCACCACTCTTTTCCATCGAAAAACGCTTCAGCAAGTCGTCTCTCTTAGCTCGAGTGCTATATTTAACAGATGCCATATTACTCGAATCGAGATGGGCTCAAGCAATGGGAATGAGGCTAAACGAAGGTGGAAATGCATGGATTCAACTTTTGGTTCACCAAGACTTTTTGTCATTTCAAAATCTTCTGAAATGTTTTCTTTTTACGTGTATAAAGACTTACTTGCTAGAGAGACTATCGTTTTAAACCACATGATGTGGTTGTTAACGGTTGGTTTTCTCTTTTAAATGATATTTTTACTTTAAATTACATTAAGACGATGAAGAAAGTTGAGTTATACCATAAAACCAATTGATAATATGAAGAGTAGTCTTAACATCTTATGTCCTCACATTCTCACATGCCCTCTCCTATATAGCGAATTTTCAAGCCTAACACGTGGATAAAACAAACGGGGTGACGTGTTAGTCGTTAAGCTTTACACGAATGACAACCTGCTCTAATACCATAAAGAAAATGAGATTTCATCATAAAACCAATTAGCAGTATGCGAATAGCCATATTACAATAGGAACATGCAAGGTCCATCCTCCAATTAATATGAGATTTATTCTCAATAGACAAGAGTGAAATTTTTTAAACATAGCACGCAATGGGTTGACAAAGATTATCTTAATCACCAGGACAATCAATTTGATTTTGTTTTTATGAGATTCAAAATCATGAAATCGTATATTGCATTAAACTATTATATTCACTCGTATACATACTTGGTCAACTTAATGTGTAACTGTGGTGATTGTTTTACGCTACTTTACTTTTCATTTTTTTTCAAATTTATTGGTTCTTATTTTATTGTCTTGTGGGTAACGGACATTAGTTTGGAGAGGAACTCAATGTTTTGTTTTTGGTAAAGAAAGGAACTCAACGTTTGATTGGTACAAAAATGTCAAAATTTCATCTTCTACGAATAGACCAACCCAATGTATACGATAGCATGCATTCATTTCCACATACAGAAACAAATGTACCAATCCAAGCATATACTATTCTAATTTCCGTCTTTCGGTTTGAAATTTTTTTTTTCGTGTGACACGAAAACATCGTGTTATCAGTATCATTTTTTAACACATATTTATTAGTATTATCGTTTAGTATGACTATCTTACTGTCATATTATGTTACTTAACTGCGTTTTATAATATGGTTAAACAACATGAATCAACATTGTTAGTTCAACGACATATCAACTATATCATTCACTCATAATATAACACTTAATTAGAAACATCAGATGACGTTACGGTCTTCACGTCCAACAGTTTTTTCTTTTGTCGATTACATAAAATTATTATTATCAAGTGCTACTTAACCTATCCTTATGCATATCTTCTTTTTCCATTAATATAATCTAAATTGGGTTTAGACTTGGGATTACGATTAGGATTTGCCTCTAATTAAAAAGATTAGAATAATAGCCACCAACCATGTGAAAAACACACAATTATATACAGCTGTGCTGGAGGCTGGAGGGCTTCTATTTTCTCTTGGCTTGCTTGACGGGTTTGTTTTGTACAAGCAACAGAAACATCAAACAAGAAGATGCTAGGAAATGCAGAAGCTCTGATCTTTCAATGGAACGAAAGCGCCCAGCAAACTACCAAGAAACACCCAAAAATAATGGTAGGCAGGGCGCAAGGGCTGACTTGATGGAACTCAAAGGCGAAAGGTGGGGCTTTAAGTTGGAGAAAGCAAAGAAAAATCTGACAAACCCAAAAAAAAAAAGTCCACTGCTTTTGTCACATACGGACACAAACTTACACGTATAATTGTCAAATGGCTGTCTTGTTCTCTACTTCTCCAAACCATACACACATCTTTTTCTTTACCAACACATTGGTGGGATTTTTCCGTCGTGATTCGAAGTATTCTATGTTCTACAATTTTTGCGTGTTTCAATACACTTGATGTAAAAGAGAGAAGCAAACCTTGACTTATGTTTTAGATCAAAAGGACATCTCCGATAGAAGAGTTAAATTTGAGAAGATAAAACGACGTTTGAGCTCCCAATTTGCACTTCATAAAATGGAGAGGTCAAGAGTTGTTTTAGCAACTTCGGTCATATGCTCTATTTACAATTCCTTTTTTGCTTTGGAAGGATGCTTATTTAGTTGAATCTGATCTACTCAGTAGTCACAAAAAATGTACAAAAAATAATTTATATTATGAATTTATAATGTATGAAATTAGATTTGGATGGACCCGGCCGAGATCATAATTGGGCGGGGCTTTTATACAGGCTTACAAATATACATAACCAATGACGAAATATTGTAAGAAAAAATTATTAAATAATGATTAATGCATAATCCTTAATTATTAGCATAAGTAAAGATTCTGATTAGTATCTGTCGACTAGGCAGTACTAGTTTCATTCCGACCAATGATGCTGCAGCACCAATAAACTGGGCCCCACGTAATCGCATGTGGGCCCATTAATATCGGTGTGGGGCCCCACCCACTCAAAAGAACGAACCGGTTCCGAACTCGAAACCAAATTAACCTTGCTTTGACCGCTGGCGGGTAACCCAAAGACAATAACAACCTTTTTATTTAATTTTAATTTTTTTCCCTCCTCCACTCTCTGTTCCCGGGTTCATGTGAACTCACGAACCAAACTTGCAGAATTGCGCTGTTACGTGTTGTACGCTGTCAGGGCCAAAGGGTAAAATAGGTACAGGGGTACAACAGTGTAAGGCAATAACAATGGGCCTCAACGCACCCGATTATGCTGTCTAAATCATTTTTCTTAGTATTTTCAGGGAAAATCACTCGCGGACCATTTAAAGCATCTCTAACAAAAATGTGAAAAAATGAATGTCAAATGTTACTTTGATAACTAATGTTGTAATATTAGTTTTTCTCCTTCTTCAGCCCATATGTTTTTCTATTGTAAATGCACAACCCATTTTCAAAAAATATTAATTAAAATAATTTTTAAAATTTATAATGGGTGAATTAATAAGACCTACACCATAAAATAATTAAAAGTTGATTGACAGCATTTTTGGACCCTTTTTCTACTTTCACATTTAATTGCGTTGCATTCCACTTAAAATTAAACATATACTTTAAAGCTAAATTTTATTATTATTATTTAACAAGCGATTTCTAATGACATAAAATAAATGCTTAAATGTTACAATGGTTCATGTGTTTTAGTTATTGAGTCAATTTAGTCCCCGTGTTTTCAATTTGGCCAATTTGGTCATTATGTTTATCTTTGTTAGCCAATTAAAGACATTTCTATCTAATTTATGTAGAAAATTATTATAAACTTATTTAATTCATTTAAAATATTTAAAAATGAAATAAAATTAAAAATTAAAAGAAAAATTATTCTCCTCCCAACTCCTCGACCGCCTTCCTAACATTACCCCCTCTCTTTTCTATGTCACAACCTTAATAATTTTTCGGATTAAAATTTTTGTCTCTTATATGTTTTATTTCTCATTGATTTGCATTTGTATGTAAAGAGAAAAAATAATTATATCTCATATAGTTTTTCTTATGAACTTTTTAAAAGAGAATTTTTTTTTTTTTTGTTAAACGATAAATTTTGTTAGATTAGCCACCAATGTGATTTGAACCCATGCCGTCATGCAATGACTTAACACATTTCTACCACTGTGGTAAATGGCCAATTGCTTTTAAAAGAGATTGAACGAAATGTCATTAATTAGCTAAAAGAGACAAACAAGATGACTAAATCAGCCAAATCGAAAACATAGATACTAAATTGATCACAGGTGGACTATTTTGATATTTAAGCCTAAAATAATAATAAAACTACAAAACCCAAAAATATTCGACGGTCCCACCACCACAGACACCTGCAATATCTGATTGGTCCTTGTCTCCCACTCTCTCCATCAGCGCGTGGGCCTTAATTCTCGATTCCATCTTTCTCTGGGCCTCTTTGCTTTTTAATTTACATGTTTTTAATTTATTTTAATTATTGAGAAGAGAAAGCTCCGGTTTGTTCCTTCCTTTTTCATTTTCTCGCTGTTTCCTCCTCTTTTCCTCGCACAAAGAAGTCTCCGATTCTCGGAACAAAAAATCAAATAAAATATTTATAAAATTAAAAAAAAGGAGAAAAACGACATCAATCAATCACTCAACCAATCAACGAAACAAACGATGACTCGTGATCCTCACGACCTCCATCATCGTCGTCCTCCTCATTAACCCAAAAGCCCCTCCTTCCCTCCCTCCTCCCTCCCTCCCTCCAAAAGAAATCGCGATTTCGACTCGGAGCTCGGAAACTGCGTCGTTTCAAACAAGTAGTACAGTCGTTGCTGTCGTCATCCGATCATGAGGCCGATTCAGCCGCCGTCCGGAACGAACCCAGCAGTGGTGGCCCCACCACCGAGGCGGGACAACCAGAGACGACGCCGTCACGACCTAACTCTACCGCTACCTCAGCGGGATACCTCGCTTGCAGTACCGCTCCCTCTCCCTCCGCCCGGTCCGAGCTCGGCCCAGTCGTACTCGGCCCACAGCGCGGCCCAGCAGCTCATCAACTTCTCCGAGCTCGAGCGCTCTAACCGCATCGGGAGCGGAACCGGAGGCACCGTCTACAAGGCCATACACCGCCCGACGGGCCGGGTCTACGCGCTTAAGGTGATTTACGGCAACCACGATGACGCCGTGCGCCGCCAGATCTGCCGCGAGATCGAAATACTCCGCGACGTCGATAACCCCAACGTCGTCAAGTGCCACGACATGTTCGACCACAACGGCGAGATCCAGGTCCTGCTCGAGTACATGGACGGCGGCTCGCTGGAGGGCCAGCACATCAGGAACGAGAAGGCCCTCTCGGATTTGGCCAGGCAAATCCTCAGCGGCCTCGCCTATCTCCACCGGCGGAAGATCGTCCACCGCGATATCAAACCCTCGAATCTTTTGATCAACGCGAGGAACCAAGTCAAGATCGCCGATTTCGGAGTGAGTCGGATTCTGGCTCAGACCATGGACCCCTGCAATTCTTCCGTCGGGACCATCGCATACATGAGTCCGGAGAGGATCAACACCGATCTCAATCACGGCCAGTACGACGGCTACGCCGGCGATATATGGAGCCTTGGGGTCAGCATATTGGAATTTTACATGGGTCGGTTTCCGTTCTCGGTGGCGCGAGGAGGCGATTGGGCTAGCTTAATGTGGGCTATTTGTATGTCTCATCCGCCTGAAGCTCCGCACAGTGCTTCTAGAGAGTTCAGGCATTTCATTGCTTGTTGCTTGCAGAGAGAGCCGTCCAAGAGATTGTCGGCGGCGCAGTTGTTGCAGCACCCTTTTATCTCCGGCAATGGCGGTGGCCAGCCCCAGCAACCCCATCAGAATCTTCACCATCTGCTGCCTCCACCGAGGCCTCTTTCTTCTTAGCTCAAATAGTGTACTTTCTTCTACCTTTGGTTTCGCTGCCCAATTACTGTCGGCCGTTGGTTTCTTTCTTTCTTTCCTTTTTTATGATAATCATAATGATCATATGATGATTTTGTGTTTTTGCTGTTCGATTTGGAGAAATTGGGGAAATGGGTTGCCTTTGTTTTCTAGTTTTACCTCCTAATTGACTTTAATTTTTGAGTAATTAGACCCCTTTTAGATATTATGTGATTGATTTGTGTGTAATTATGTCTCATTGGGCATTGGATATTGGCTTCTGCAAATGTTTTTCCATTTTTAGTTAAACTTTTTTGTTGGGTTTTCCTGGGGAAAATCAAATGTTTGTTTTTTTGATAGAGGAAAGCGTTAATCTTTTAGGGTTGGATTAGATTTTGCCCTAGGTAGTTCATATCCGTGCACACAGATCCATATCATCAGTCTCATAGAGGAGAGTTTACATGGAACTGGGAAGCTGCAGCTTTTACCTTTTCTTTTACATCTCCTTCTCTCTTTCTGTCTGGATGGGTTTGTGTGTGTGATCAGGGAGAAGAACTTTTATGCAACAAGGACACCAAGGTGGTGCCCCGAATCAGTCACGCAATGCCATTTGGTAGAAAGTTAAAACTTATGGCATCGCGTGATAGATTTGGGGTATCGTCACCCGGTTGCATGTAAGTTTGAGTGGGTTGCATTTTCCTGAACTGTTAATGAGTATTACACTGGAATTGATAATTAATGAGCCTTTTAGTAGCGTGTTGAGCAGAGAGTAGTTGGTAGGGTTTGAACAAAAAAAGCTTTGGATTTATGAGTTAGATGCTTCTCTTTGTATGGAAGGACATGTTAATAATGGAGGGCACTGGCGTGTGATGAGGATTTATTTGTTCTTTGCCCCCTCCATCATCAAGGCTGTCAATATTCGTTTCTCTTTCTTTATCAGTGAAATCAGTGGTGTAATTCTATTATTTATATATGTTTATATATATTTTGAACACAAGTGAATATTCTGCACTAATCTACAGAAAAAGAGAGAGAGAGGGAAATATTCGAATCCGGAAATTGTCGGTTTAAGAGAAAGATCATAACTATTAGGGCAATCCACCACTAATGATTTGATTTCTCTTTTTATATTTATTTGCTGCTGTACGATTAGGTACTCGTAACTCATTTGCTTCTGCAGCATTTTGATTAAATTTGCATGCATAAGCATTTACTGTTTGGGACAATACTATAGGCCTAATTGGATAAATAGTCTTCGTGATAATACGGTATTCGAAAGATAGTATCTGAGCTAAAAAAATCAGACGTAAAACTCTTGCAATGAAGTCCATTATGAATTAAGCCAAAATCAAAATTTCCGTCAATTTCTCCGTTCAGCTTCCTTTATTTCTAGAGGGGTTAGATTGTGCAACCTCTTCAACGAGTTTCTCATCAGTGTTGGTTAAGAAACTTACTAGCTGAATCTAAACTAAGAACAAGCTTGAACTCCAACAATCTTATAAGAGCAACAGTGAATCAAAGTCTTTGAGCACTGATCTGATAAATTTGTCTTTTTTTTAGGAAAATTAATGAAAATGGTGTAATTCTATTATTTATATATGTTTATATATATTTTGAACACAAGTGAATGTTCTGCACTAATTTACAGTAAAAGAGAGAGAGAGAGAGAGAGAGGGAAATATTCGAATCCGGAAATTGTCGGTTTAAGAGAAAGATCATAACTATTAGGGCAATTCATCACTTGCAATCATGATGATTTGATTTCTTTTTTTATATTTATTTGCTGCTGTTCGATTAGGTACTTGTAACCCATTTGCTTGTGCAGCATTTTGATTAAATTTGCATGTATAAACATTTGCTGTTTGGGACACTATTATAGGCCTAATTGGATAAATATTCTCCGTGATAATAAGGTATTCAAAAGATAGTCTTTGTGCTAAAAAAATCAATCTTAAAACTTTTGCAATGAAGTCCGTTAGAAATTAAGCCAAAATCAAAATTTCCGTCGATTTCTCCATTCAGCTTCCTTTATTTCTAGAGGGGTTAGATAGTGCAACCTCTTCAACGAGTTTGTCATCAATGTTGGTTTAGAAACTTACCAGCTGAATCTAACCAAGAACAAGCTTGACCAACAATCTTATATGAGAGCAACACCGAATCAAAGTCTTTGAGCACTGATTTGATAAATTTGTACACAAAACTTGATTTGATAAATAGATGAATTAAATCCATATCTTTTCTTTATCAGATTAGAACCTAAAAAATCTCTTGCTGAAAAATTCACAGGTGCAGCTACAAATATTATATTAAAATAATCTACAATAAATCTGGTTGCTCAGTAAATTCGAATTTTTTTTCTTATATTTTTGATAAATAAAACTTAGAATTTCAGAGCAAAAATACGGTAGAGATGTAGATGACTTTTTCCTTCCCCTCTAGGCATAAGCATCCCAAGTACAAGACATGGTGATGGAGGCAACAGTTAAGTTGATTCTAAGCTAAGGTTGGTCGCTTCGCAACTGGCAGTGGCCGGGGAGGAAGCTTTGGTTGAGAGTGTGGAATCATGGCTTAGAGGTTTAACGAAGAATTAATGGAAATTTGTATGTTTGGGCTTAAATCCTGACTGACTTCACTACAAAGGGTTGTGATTCGGGTTTTTTATTTTATTTTTTTTATTTTTATTTTTTTACCATGAGGCTACCTTCTATCTATCCTATTACCACAAGTGCCGTTTATCCAATTAGGTCTAATATTACGTCTGCATTTTAGGGTTCTACTTCGGTGGCTACGAGCTCTGGATTCACAGGACCATATAATCCAAATCGATCCACATCATTTAGCATTCATAACATTTAATTCTACATAGCATGAATTTTTTTGTTTCCACATTTTAATATAGTTTTGGTGCTTTTAATTAAGGAGGCAGATTGTTTGCCCTCCTATTTGGATACACTTCTCATCCCTTCCTATTTTGTGCGGTCACGTTTAAGTCACGTTAACATTTTATATTGATTTTTTTATAGAGATAATAAGACAAAAAAAAATAGGAATATAAAATGTTGACGTGACTTAATCGTGACTGCACAAATAGAAGAGGATGGGAATTACACCCAAACAGGAGGGCAGACAATCTGCCTCCTTTAATTAAAGTGTAATTTAAGCCTTTAATGGTCCATGTGATTATTTTTTAGAAGCCTCCATAAACCAACTTTCCTCAAAAGAGCTTATTTTCCCAATTGGGTTACAATTCCGATTTCTTTTCGTTTGGATGATTGCGATAACGTGTGAATTTGGTGTATGAATGAATCTTAGGCTTTTATGGCAGTGCATAATTTACAATCCAAATGGAAAAAGGCAAAGCCTAAAGTTGCATACCCATGTTTTTATCATATATAGGTTATGATCCAAGACAAACGCTTATAACATATATTTTGACACACATTTTTATGGGTCTACTTCGTAATATATTTCAACGATCTAACAGTTTATTTTTTATGTCTTATCTCAAAGGTTATGTCTACCAAAAATCACCTAAATTCGAAATTATATAACCGTTGGATTAAGTTTAGTCTTTTTTGTAGAACCATATTAGTCATTTTCTTCATTACAATTAAATGTCTTAATGATTTTAAATTTGTCTAATTTTTTTGCAAGAATCTATAAATGATGTAATAAAATATAACTGTTGAACAGTTGAATACGTTACGAAATGAACTCCATGAAAACCCGTGTCATATACATATGCGTTTCCGTACAGTTTTCTTTGTGTAGCCCCTTTTTTGCTGTCTTGCCTTTGCCGTGTGGAAAGAGAGGAGACCACAGATTCACGTCATGACTAATAGGAGATGATGATCCACACCTATTCTGGGGAATGGATTTAAATGAGCAATGATCGATGAAAGGAATGTACATATATATTTTAATACAAGCGATATTCTGCTTTAATTTATGCTAAATGAAGAAGAGAGGGTTTGAACTAGCGACCTAGTGAACTAAAAAAAACTATAATCAGCATGACAGTTCATCGTTTGGAGTGTAGAACTACTTCCAAGGCAAAGAGTCAAGTATTATCTTCTAACACCCCCCCCAAAAAAAACGACTTGGGTTAATTAACCAAATGCAGATATGGCAACATCCCCTCTTCCCACTTGGTTGCTTTTCCAATTGTCATGCCCCTAACCTAACACATATCACATATCAGCCTCTAATCTATGTATTCACTTTTGGATTTCCATCCATAGATAGCTCATAGCCCCACCCAAAACCTATCCACTCCAATCCAATCCAATCCAATCTAACACTGCCTCTCCCACTTTTAGTACCACTTTTGTCCTACAAGGTTTAAAGTAAATAATTTAGTCCCAACGCTTATGGGATGGAACCAAAAGCAGCTCAGCCCTTCATTCTCCTAACAATAAAGAGCCTGGTTAATCAATCCACTTGGATCTCTCAGGGGAGGGCAAAACAAACGCATGAACTTGACTGAAAGGGTAAATGCTTTTAACACTAGAGCTATCTTCCGCTAGCAATGAGTTTAGATCTCTGAGTTGCTTCAAGAGAGAGCAAGATAAAATGTATGTCTATAAGTGACAGCGTATGATCTAATGTCTCGTAGCCAAACAAGCTATCAGAGTAATGTGTTCACATGATCTAAAGTCACAGAATTTCATATGGATGATCAATCACATTATGATAGTTGTTTGGCTACTAGTTTTATTTTATTCCAACGAAGAAATGGTTTCCATTAATTATAGTATAATGTGTTATGAGAATGCTAAGGAGACTCTCGTAGAGCTCATTTGGATGTGCTTTTAAAATAACTGAAAGCGCTTTTGGTGAAAATGTTTTTAGAACCAATCCTTAGTAAAAATGCAAGTAAATCCTGGAAAAAAAAACACTTAAAGTGCTTCCTGTAAGAAGTACATAATTGATGCCTCTTGCAGAAAACATTTTAAGTGCTTTTAAAACCCAAAAACATTTTCTCTAAAAGCGTTTTCAATCATTTCAAAAGTAAATCCAAATGAACCCTTAAAATTTAGGATTCTCTATAAATTTTTGTCATCTCATGTTTTTAACACAATATTTTATAATGTTAACACATAAATTGACGTTAAATTGTGAAGTGACAAAGAAAAGAAACCATAGATAGTCACATTTTGAAAGATTCCCCTTC